AGCCACCCCACTACTGGTTCTCCCTTCTTCCTTATTTAACCCCTCTGTCACTTCTCCCCATGAGATAATATTCCCAAATAAATTACTAACAAAGAAGACTGTCGCAGCCTCTGTTTTTTGGAACTCAGGCTGTGACAGAATGTAAGGTCTCTACACCAGAAAGAACCCAAAATTGTAAGGGTAAGGAACAAAACTTTTGTAAGTACATTATTGTTGTAGTATATGTTGGCCAAAAAGTTTGTTTAGTTTTTTCCATATGATGGCTCTAGTAGTGCTTAGTTGTTTTAACATCATTCAAAACAATTTTGTTAGATTTTATTGTGACAGCTGTCATATCAGCGTACATTTTAAAAACTTATTAAAATTAGTGAATTTTTGTGCAGCCATTTTAATATTGAAGATGGAAGAAGATACACATTTTCAGCATATTATGCTGTATTATTTCAAGAAAGGTAAAGACAACTGAAACACAAAATAAAAGATTTGAGCAGTGCATGCAGAAGATGCTGTAACTGATTGAACGTGTCAAAAGTGGTTTGTGAAGTTTCTTGGTACTGTTGACATTTTGGTAAAATAATTCTTTGTTGTTAGGTTGTCTTATGCATTGGAAGATGTTTAGCAGCACCCCTGGCCTCTACCCCACAGATGGCAAACACAAGGCCCATGGGCCAAATCCGGCCCTCCACCGTGTTTTATCTGGCCCAGCACTTTTTCAGCCCAGTGGCAGCACTGAGCTCTTGCTTAACTGTTAAGGAGTAGTTACATTTATAGTCCTAAAGTTACATTCGGCCCTTTGAAGGCAACCACAAAGCTGATGTGGCCCCCAGTGAAAGTCAGTTTGACACCCCTGCTCTATCCACTAGAAGCCAATAGTGGGAGATAGCTGACAAACTCAAAATATCTAAATCAATAGAGTTATTGGTGAAAATGAAAAATGCGTCTTTTCTTTTGCAGAAAAAACTAAACAGACCTTTTGGCCAACATTTGGTCTAATAATGACAGAAGTTGGTCCTGCTACCACATGTCTTGATTCCCAGACTCGTGAATCATGGCTATGGAGGAAAGCGCACCATATATGGGTTCCTAGTGCAAAGTATATACCATATCTATAGAACTTTACACCAATATTTCTGGGTATAGTCTCCCCACTGGCATTACAACTGAATCTTTGCTACAGTCAGTAACTGTAAAGCTAGAAAACACAAATACCATGTGATCTCATCTATGAGGAACATAAAGAACAAAATAAAGGACAAAATGGAACCACAGGCATGGAAACATGGAACAGACTGACAGTGACCAGAGGGGAGGGAGGAGGGGCATAACAGTGCAAAGAAGGTGAAGGGACTAGACGAAAAACACATTTGAATGACCCATGGAGATGGACAACTGTGGGAAATGACTGTGGGAGCTGAGGATGGGATGGGCGGAGGAGGACAAAGAGGGGGAAATTGGGACAAATGTAATAGAATAACAATTTTTAAAAAAGAACTTGCTATCATCCTCTGCATCTTCCTTTCATGGGATCCCTCCACCATGATTGTTTTTGGGGCTAGGGACTACAACCCCTCTCAGTTCACAGAATGGTTAACAATAGAGATCTAATGAATGAGGGCAAAAGGAGAATGCACAGAGGAAAGGCCACAGTGCAGATGTGTTTCAGAAGGACAGGTCTGAGGAAATAAAGAGAATTAAATAGAAATTATACATAAAACAAGAAATGTTTAAGATTTTAATAAATAAGTTTATAAAACATTATTAACATACATAAGAGAACATAAGAGAAGATCTAAGTACACAGACATGATATACTCCTTGGCAGAAGATTACTGTTATAAATTTGTCCGCTCTCCCCAGACTAATTCATAAATTTGATGCAGTCTTAAGAAAAACTCCAACAGAATTTTTTTATTTATTTTTTAATTAAACTTATTGGGGTGACATTGGTTAATAAGATTATATGGGTTTCAAGTGTACAGTTCTATCATACAGCATCTGTATATTGCATTGTGTGCCCACCACCCAAAGTCAAATCTTCCATCATTGAATAAAGATGATGTGAGACACACATGTGATGGACTACTACTCAGATGATGAAATACTGCCATTTTCAACAAGGATGGATCTTGAGAATATCAGGCTAAGTAAAATAAGTCAGAAATAGTTAAGAACCATACCATGTGATTTTACTCATATGTGGGATATAAAACTGCAAGTAACAAATGAAAAAGACAGACAAACTCATAGACACAGACAACAGTATGGTGGTTACCAGAAGGGAGGGGAGTAGAGGGTAGTAAAAGGTAAAGGGGTCAAATATATGGTGTCCAACAGGATTTTTTTCCTTTTTATATATTTAATTTTCTATTTTTAACTTTATTTTCATTGTTGACACTATTACAGATGTCCCCATTCCCTCCCAACCTTTGCCCACCTCCACCCAGGCCCCATCCCTCCTCCCCTCTGGCCATCACCACACTGTTGTCTCTATGAATTATGCACATATGTTCTCTTGGCTGATCCCTTCACCTTCTTTCATCCAGTTCCCCCTCCCCTCTGACAGCTGTCAGTCTGTTCCATGTATTCATGCCTCTGTACATTTGATTTTATAGTGAACATAGTATTATAAATCAATATGAAAATGATGTGCTATTCAAGAGATAGTGTCAAAATAATTAGCCACCTATTTGAGAAATAGAAATAACATTAAACCTCTATGTCATGCAATCTACATAAAGGTAACTTCCAAATGGATCAAAAAGCTAAATATATAAAATAGAATTACAAAAGAATACAAAAAAATACTTAAAAACCTTAGCATACACGTTGTCTAGTCCCTTCCCCTTCTTCACACCATTATTCCTCTCTCGCCTCCCCTCTGATCACTGGCAGTCTGTTCCATGTTTCCATGCTTGTGGTTTTATTTTGCTCAGTAGTTTATTTTGTTCATTAGATTCCTCTTAGAGGTGAGATCATATTGTATTTGTCTTTCACTGACTGGCTTACCCACAGACATGGACAACAGTGTAGGAATTGACTGTGGGAATTGACTATAGGAGCAGGGGGTGGGATGGGGGAAGGAGGGCAAGGAGGAAAAAACTGAGACAACTGACAGAATAACAATAAAAAAATAGTTTAAAAAACTTTTTTTAAAAAGCATAAAATTAAGTTCTAAGCTTTTTTTTCCAAATGCTTCCCAGTGGTTCCAGTACCACTAACCGAATAGCTTTTCTTCCCCGCTGATTTCAGATGTTACCTTTATCACTAGGTTCTCTATATACTTGAGTCTATTTTTCTACTTTACATTGTTCTATTAACCTGTCTATTCATTAACCAGTACCATATTGTGTATGAATAAATATGCTTTCAAAATACATGCAGATTTTAAAGGCTGCCATTTCTTTGGCACACTTTTCTTTGGCACACTTTTCTTTAAATGATGGAGACTAATTCCCTTCTTCCTATATGTGGGCCATACATAATGATTCACTGTAGTGGAGTGATATGACTTTCAAGGCTAGGTCATAAAAAAGACAGCTTCCACCTGGATACCTCAGTATTAGATTTCTCACCCTAGGGAAAGCCAGCTACCATGTCATGAGGACACTCAGGTGGCCCTTTGTAAAGGTTCACCTTGTAAGAAACAGGCCACCTCTCAACAAAAAGCTCCCATTTGGCAGCCATTTGCATGAGCCACCTTGAAGTATGTCCCCAGCTAAGTTACTTCTGAAATCCTGGCCCCCAGAAAGTGTGAGAGATAATAAATGCTTATTGTTTTAAGCCACTAATTTGGGGGTGGGCATAATTGGCTATACAGAAATAGGTAAGTAATATATTAAGTTTTATAATATATAATAGCTTTATTATATAATATATAATAGCTTTATTATATATATTAAAATATCATATAACATATATAAGGTTTTATAATATATAATGAACACTTTATTATATATTATAAAGCTTTTATGTGGTCTATTGTTCTTTTCTTTTGAGTTTTCCTGATAATTCTCTTTTTTTTACATAACCTTTAGTATCAGCTTGGCATGTGTGTGTACATGTATGCACAGAAGGAAAAATTACATGCTACAAGTTAGAGAGAAATCAACATCTTTGTCTTCCTACCCAAGAAAATGATTTGTTCAAGCCTTCTTTTCCATATTTCATTAGTATTTTAAGGTTTTATTCACATATTTCCTCTATTTATCATTTAGCCTTGATTAGTACTGAAATTTTTTTCTATTTTAAATGATATCTTTATCCATTTTACACTCTAATTGTTGTAGGTCATTTCAATATCATCTACTAATGATTTCTGCATATTAAGTTTTCTATTCTAGTGTCTTGTGAAATTATCTCATTTTTGCAGTAATTTCTCAGTAAATTTTCTTAGGTTTTCCATGATTACAATCATATCATCTGCCAACAGCAATAATTCTTATACCTCAAATGTTTCATTTATTTAATGTATCTCTGGACCCTAGAATATAAATTCCTTAAGTTCAGAGATTTTTGTACTTTGTGAAGTGCTTTGCCTCCAGCACCTGAAACAACGCTTGGCAGAGTACATGCTCACTAAATATTTGAAGTAATTACATGAAATGCATTGACTAGCAGCTCCAGGACAGTGCTTACTAATAGTACTAATAGTGGGCACCCTGTCTGCTTGTTCCTGACTTTAGTGGAAATGTCTCTATATTTCTCCATTAAGCTTGATGTTGGCCTTTGGGCTGACTCAAATTATGATTATCTCATGTTAAATAAGGGTCTATTCCCATTACATTGAGCATTTTTATTTGAAATGGTTGAATTTTAGCAAATGTACCATTTTTATAAAAACAGTAAAATTATTTTTCAAAAATTCTTTATACACTGAAAATAATTTAAATATTTTAATTCAACAAGTGAAATACAGAAAAGCAACAGCTATAAAACCATGGAGATAGTAATTTCAACAATAACAGAAAAAGTGCTTTAAGTTATAGTGTTTAAACTTATCACTACATTTCATTCATTACATTGGTGTAGTACTTCATCTCAGTATCTACAATTTTGACAAATGCTTGGAAAGTTTTTTGTTCAGAAACAGATGCCGATCTAACAGAAACACATTTGAAAATATTCTTTTTCTGGTCATAGTTTCCAACACACCTATAAACTCGGCCTCTAATCAGTCTTGGAAGTTCACGATCCTGTTTTAAAAAAAATAATATCAATAAAACCATTCATTATTTCATTGAAATTTCAACATTCTGAAACTAACTATATGGTCAAGTAAATATGAATCACTCCAAAATACTGTAACTCCTTTACCTGATTCAGGGCCCCACTGCTGACCAAACCATGATAGCTAGGCATTTATCGGTGCCTTGTCACACAGGAAAGACCTTCACTTGGGAAAGGCTTCTTATAGGCTAGCAAGCTGCTGCTCCTTAAAAGGTTGCCTACTTGTGTAATAGCACTTCTGTAACTGCCCGAGTTCTACTTTCAATAGATGGCAGAAAAATATTTCATACCAAATCTCCAACTAAGAACAATTGAAATAGCTGGATGAAATACTTAAAAATCTCCTCATAGATTTCAGAGACACCAAGTCAGTGAGGAATTACAGAGACCTCATCTGAGAAAGAGTCTAGATAGGGCCTGATATTTGGGGGTGCTTCCCCCTGAGGTACCTGTCAATTATAGTCAAAGTTAAGAGTCTAAAGAAAATGAGCAGAGCTTTTGACAGGCTCAGAGAGTTGGGAGGGGAAAAAGTAGAATCAGAGGCCCCTAAGAAAAAGAAATTCTGGTAACCACCCCCACCACCACCCCAGCTCAGGGTTGGGACCCAAAAGGACTGTGCCCTAATGGGACTAGTAAACCAGAAAAAGATCAGCCAGTATCAAATGCTCTCAATCATGAGCAAATTTAAATTATTCTGGGATTGCTTTCACTAAAGGGTCACAAAAAGCATTAACTATAAGGGAAAATATTGACTATTGCTAAAAGTACTATATTAAAGTGAAGAATTTCTGTTCCTTAAAAGCCACCATTAAAACTCAAAAAGCAAATCACAAAGTATGAGAAGATATTTGCAATACATATAATGTACAAAGAACCTGTACCTACAATAGTTTTTTGAAAACCTCTTAAAAACCAATAATGAAAAAAAACATATAATTCAATAATAGAAAAAATAACATGAGGCCTGAACAGACTTTACAAAACAAGTTATCTAAATGGCCAGTATGCACATAAAGTGTTCAACCTCATTAGTCACCAGGGAACTGTAGAGAAATGAGATAGCACTAAACACCCACTGCAAGAGCTAAAATAAAAAACACTGACAGTACTGAGTGTTGATAAGAACACAAAGAAAAACACTCACCTATACTGATTGTGTGTGTGTGAATTGGTACTCTTTGGAAAATTCTTTAGCAATAACTACCGTATTAGAACATACACATGCACCATAATGCAACAATTTTACTTCTAGGTATATACCCAATAGAATTGCATGCATATGCATGAGACATATGTAAAAATATTGATAGAGCATTATTTATAATAGCAAAACATCTAGAAATAACCCAGATGCCCACCAATAGCAGGATAGAAAACTAAACTGTAGTACAATATATTCAGACAACAGAAAATTGTATATAGAAATATAAATAAAACTATAGCTACACGCAACAACATACATGAATTTTACATTGTGTTGAATGAATCAGACCTAAAAGAAATATACCATATGATAACACTTATATAAAGTTTTTTAAAAGGCAGAATTAATTTATAGTATTAAAAGTCAGAATAGTGTTTACTTTTAGGTAGGAAACAGGAGGTAGTGAGTGGGAGGAGGCACAAGAATGTACAGGGTAGTAGCAATGTTCTATTTCTTAACCTTGATAATGTTCACTGTGTGATAGTTCATATAACTGTACAGTCATGAGTTATAAAGTGTTTTATTTTAAAAAGTCAAGACTAGAGAAAAATAAGAAATTAAGATATTTTAGAAATTAGTAACTTGACAATTACTATTTCTTGATCATCTACTGTGTGTCAGACACTGTTCATTCATGTTTTATTTTTTGGGGGGGGGCAGGGTTTGATGTGGTATTTTTTAATTTTTTAAAATTTTATTTTAAGTGTTGTTGAAGTACAATTTTCTTTTACTCCCATCCCAGCCCACCCCCCCAGCCCTCCCCACCTCCTTCCCATTTCCACCTGCCCCTAGTTTTTGTCTATGTGTCCTTTATACTTGTTCCTGTAAACCCTTCCCCTTTTTCCCTAAAATTCCCCTGAAATTCCCTCCCCTCTCCCCTCTGATCACTGTCAGCCTGTTCTCTATTTCAGTGTCTTTGGTTATATTTTGCTTGTTTCTTTGTTTTGTTGTTTAGGTTCCTGTTAAAAGTGAGATCATATGGTATTTGTCTTTCACTGCATGGCTTATTTAGGCCTAGCATAATGCTTTCCAGTTCCATCCACGCTGTCACAAAGAGTAGGAACTCCTTCTTTCTTTCTGCTGCATAGAATTTCATTGTGTAAATGTACCATAGTTTTTTGATCCATTCATTTACTGATGGGCACCTAGGTTGCTATGCACCCCAATGTTCATAGCAGCACAATTTACAATAGCCAAGTGTTGGAAGCAGGCTACATTCATGTTTTATTATCTAATCTCCAAACAACCTTTCAAAGTAAGAGTCTCCCCATTTTACAGATAAAAAACTGAAGCTCAGAAAGTTTAAACAGCTAACTCAAGGTCATAAAGGCATTAAATAGTGGAATAAAAATTAGAATCCATGTCTGATTTCAGAATGATGGCCAATTTCAGAATTAATCTCAAATTCTTTTACAAAGTATGTAAGTCTTATAAGGTCTCCAGACTTCCTTGTGACATCCAGCCTCCTGTGTCACCCCCAACCTTCTTTATCACCAAGCCTCTTCCTTGTATCCCAGCCCATCTATGCCTTCCTCCAGCACCACTATCCTTACCCCCATCACTTACTAATTCTATACTCTGGTAATTATAAACTACCTGCATTTTCCTATAGAATCCAGGCTCTCTTAGCTGCATGTCTTCAAATATACTACTCTCTCAATTTAGCATGCATTCCTCCTTACCCTTTCCCATCCCTCCCACACAATTTGGTTTATTAAGCCTAAATATCTAAAATAACATAGGTTACTACGCTCTTCAAATCTTTCCCTGACCTTCCTATCTACCTCTCTAGCACCCTGTACATACCTCCATCATATAATTTATCATATGACAATGTAACATTTATGCAACTCTCTTTCTACCTGAGATTATAAACTCTTTGAGAAAGCCATGTTTATATTCCAATTTGTATCTGTTGCAGCTAGCATAGTGCCTGGCACAAAGCAGGCTCTCCATATTAGTTGAACAGATAACTTTAATATTAAACTAAAAGCAAACAATGTTCAAAGTACTACTAAAGTATTAAACAGAATTTCTACTACAATGGAATTACAGTCTGCATTTGTATGTTTTGCTGGCACAGGCTTTGCAAAGAATACTTAGACAAATACTTACTATTTCATAAAATATACAAGGCAGAGTATTTTTCCCATCTCTCATAAGAAAAGTTTTAGAATAATATGGTCCAGGTGTAACAGCTGAATCAAGAACGGCTAAGCAACATTAAAATAGAAGGAAAAATCAATGCTGGTAAAATGCAAATAAAATGTTTAACAAAGAGAAGTTGATATTTAAATAACTATTCCCACACAAATTTCTCTGATAGTTTTATTTATACATTAATGAAGAAGACATCTAAACAGAGAAAGAACTCTGGCAAGTATGACTTAGCTGGTTGGGCATCATCTTGCAAACCAGAAGGCCACAGGTTCAATTCCCGGTCAGACCATATGCTTAGGTTGTGGTTCAGGCCCCGGTCAGGGCATATGCAAAAGGCAACCAATAGATGTTTCTCACATTAATGTTTCTCCCCCTATCTCTAAAATTAATAAGCACGTCCTCAGGTCAGGATTTTTTTAATAAATAAATAAAATAAATAGGGAAAGATATTTCTGAAACTGTTTTATACTAAGGGAAACAAAATTTCTGGCCCTCTCCAACTTAGGAACAAGTTACATGCCAAAGTTCATACACCAGACAATAGTTAGCCATCTGAACCTTTTTCTTAGAATTTATTTTATAGAGTGGTTAAATCCCCAGGCCACTCTACCACATTGTAATAATAAAATAAACACATATAACTAATAACTAATAATTAATAAGCATCATGGTTTAATGAAAAAAATAAATATTGAATTAGAATCAGAAGGCATGCATTTGAGTCCTAGTTCTTCAACTTACTAAACTAAGCAAATTGTTTTTCTTTTAAATCTGTCTCATCTATAAAATGCAAATAATAATTCATGTTTATTTCTAAAAATTACTATCAAATGAGAGCATTATTTATTCCTTCAAATACCATCTACTGACTACTGATAGTGAGCATTTGTTATTTTTTGAGGTCAGCCTCCATTTCCCCTAATAATACCCAAATTTTCCTTTAGAAAACCTCTCCTATGCCATTCTTAGCCATATGATTTGAATGGAATTTGTATCTCCCCTGCCTCCCGGGTGCAGGAGTGTCCTGAGATTGACTTAAACCAGTTAGTGTATCCCATTCTCCAGTTACAGCATGTAGGCAGGGTTTGGATGGTAGACTTAACTACCCAGTCAGAAATGATATGCAAGGAGTCATTTGCTAGCCTCTGGAAAAGAGCAATCAAAAGAAACCATCGAAGAATGTGATGTTGTGGTATAAGGATGGATGGTATAGAGAACTTTGATAATCATCTTAATACCCAAAGGGAAGAGTCAGTAGCTGCTGGGCAGACCACAATTGGAGTTTCAGGATGAAGACAATATTGTGGCAGGACAGAAAATGGGTAAATCTCAAAAACATAATACTGGGTGAAAATGCAAGCTGTGTATTTTAAAACACAAAAAGCTATTAAAAGTCAACATACATTTATGAAATCAGATATATATAGTAAAATTATATAAGCATGAACAAGAAAGATACCACAGTGATTATCTCTAGAGAAGATAAATGGAGAAGATTTCAAAATACATATAACATGGATATGTATGTTATATTCTCAATATTTTTCTGTATGTTCAGATAGTTCTTAATTTAAATTAAATTAAATATTTATTTTACTTAAACTACTGAAAGAAATATGTTTTGAATCTCTACTTTTACTTTTCTCTTCATTTTAGGTAGAATCAAATTCCAGAAACATTCTACAAACTCTCCTCCTTCTAAATATTCACTTAGAAAACAGATTAATTGTAGGGTGCTCATATTAGTAAAGGGTTCTTTACAAATGTTCTTTCAGAGTATTTAAGTATGATTTAATTTATATACAAAATTACTACTGGATTTAGTTGAATATAGTAGAAAAACACTAGATTGAGATTAAGAAACTTATATTCTATACCCATTTTTGCTGCTAACTAGCTTTGTAATTTTAGTCAAGTCTATTTTAATTATTTGCCCCATTTTCTCACATAACTCAAGGGCTGGGTTAGATTGCTTGTAAGTGTCTTTCCAGTTTTAACATTACAAACCAGAAGAGTACCACCATAAATAACCAAATACATCTCAAGTCACACAAATCAATGACAGACCCAGAAATTAAACAAAATCCTAATTAACTGTAATCTCTTTTTGCACAATTTTATTTTTCTTCAAGATCTCCTAGGTATTCTCACTGATATTCAAAACTATTGTCCAAATAGTATTACTTAAGTATCTTTGAAGTATATTATACCTACCCAGTATTTCAAAAAGGAGTACAGTTTGGGGGGCATGTTCACGCCAGTACTTCATGCTTTCAATAACTGCAGATATAAGTCTTAAAGAATTCTCTTTTTCCTTAAACTTTAACTGGTACAATGAGGCATTCTTTTGGAAAAAAAATAAAATAATAGCATTAGAAAAACCTTTCAGATTTCTCATCATACTCTTTTACTTTCTTTGTAAAGATTACAGGTCCTTATAATAGGCATGTGGGTAAAATATGTAAAAGAACTATTAAAATTTTTAAATATTGTGTGCCAAACCTGTGATAAATACAGGTGAATAAAACACAATTCCTTTTCTTAATGTGCTCAATATTCTAGAAGGGGAGTCAGACACATTCATCCATTCATTCCAAAAGTACTTATCACCACCTACCATGTGCTAAACATAGCTAATGAGGAAATAATAGTGGGAAAAACAGGCAAGACATACCCTCACAGATTTTTGCCATCCAATGGGAGATTCAGAAAATAAACAAAAAATATGTAATAGAATGTTGGGAATTGATATATCTTATGCATTTAAAAAACAGGGTAAAAGGATAAAGAGACACAGAAATAGTTATTTCTAAAGGGTTGTTGAGTGAGAACTGAGGGAACAGCAAGTATAAAGGCCCTGAGATGGGAATGTGTTTGGCATTTTTAAAGATCAACTGAAAACACAATGTGTTAAGATACTAATTTTTAGGGAGTACTGGTGGCACTTCCTTTGTGAAGGTAGGTCATATCTAAAGACATTTATTGGGACACTGTTTTCCAACTATAATACCTTTCCTCCCTCCGCCCCCTCCTAACCAAGATATGAATGCCTCCCATTGAGGCAGGCATATCTAACTGCCATAATGAGCTACTATTATTAAAATGACTATGTCATATCATTCTTATGTACAAGAAAATGTAAGGTTGAAAACAACTGTGAAACATGCTATTTTAGTCAGATTTCTAGAAAAAAAAAAAAACAGAATTTACCTCAGATGGCTTACTGAAAAGACTGCTTACAGACATGGGCAGAACAAATATTAAGGCACTTAAGCACTTAAAAAGTGACAATACGAAACTTCTACCACTCCTAGGTTGAAAGGACAAAGGGAAGAAAAAAAAATACCAAAACTATGGAAGTTGGACTCAAAGAAGGGCAATATGCAGGGACACAGCTACTGCCTGTGACACTACATTAAAGCAGGGAAGGCACAGGAAAACACAACCCCTCTGCCCAGCCTTTTGATGTACTGCCAATGACTCCCACAGGCTGACTCCTAGTAGAAGTCAGCTGAGAGATGATGCACTTACTATTCAGCCCCCAGAGCACAGAAAAGGGCAGAGTATAAACAAGCTATTGGGCCAGGTGGCAAGGGAGGGGAGATTGAGCAAACAACCAGCACACATAATACGTACAAGACATTTACAAAAAAACAATTACAGTGAGGAGTGGAAAGAGGAAGTGAGGCTGAAGGAAGTACAGATATAGGAAAAAATACAAGATGAAGCAGAGTCATATTAGAGTACATATTTATGTTTACAGAATTGTGAATAGTTTGAATATGTCAAGTGCAATGGAGAATTAATGGACTATAGAACATGAGGTTGGAAAGGTAAAATAAAACCAGATTATATGGCGAGGGTCAGCAAACTGTAGCCTGTGGTCCAAATCTAACCTGCTCTCTGTTTTTGTAAACTTTTATTGGAACAGGCCACATCCATCCATTAATGTATTGTCTAAGGCTGCATTTATGCTACAATGACAGAGTTGGGTGGTATAGTTGAATAGTTAGTTGCAAGAGAAACCACATAGCCCATAAAGCCAAAACTATTTACTATCTGGCCCTTATCAGAAAAAGTTTTCTGACCCTTGTTACAAAAAACTTAGACTGACATATGAAGAGCTTGGAGAATTTCTGTAAGCAATGGATAAACTGTCATCAGGTCAATTATTAGTAAACAGTGAAATTCAGAACCCAGCAGGCGACTCTAAAGCAGCTATTAAAAAGAGAAGCCATTCAAAACTTTTACAGAAATATTTTGGAAACTAACATTCACTCAGTCCAACGGACCTGGACATTTGTGCTAATTAAGTAATGCATGCAATGGGACTGATTTCAAATGTTCTTATCTTTTTAATTTTCTGAATACTTATCTCATTTCTTACACATAAACATAAAAATGTAAATATTCATCTTTAAAATTATACCTTGAGAGAGGTTTCTTCTGGAATATCATCTAACTTTTTTTTCTTAAATTGATTTTGTTGAAAAATGGACATAAAAGACTGTGATACACTGTCTTTGTCTAGGCTTGTCATTGTGGAGCCAGATGTTTTTGACGAATGTATTTGTTTGAGTACTTCACTTTGTCTTTGGTGAGATAAGTTAGGAGGTTGAGATACTCTTAATTGTTTCTGCTGTTGCACTTCCAAATTCATTGGACGAGAATTTATTCCATCATTTGCCACTAGGTTGGTTCTTCTGCATTGAGGCCTAAAATCATTTCTATCCCAGGTTTTCAAGCTGGTATTTTTGTTGCCACCTCTGTAGCTGTAATAGTTTTTAATAAGTATTAGATTTTGTTTCTATATACTTTTTTAATTTATTGTTTTTCAGTTACAGTTGTCCGCCTTTTTCCCCCATGCTCACCCCAACCTCAACCCCCCAACTCCCACAGTCAATCCCCCACATTGTCCATGCCCATGAGTCTTCTATTCATGTTCCTTGACTTGCCCCTTCCCCTTCTTTCTCCCATTATTCCCCTCCTGCCACCTCTCTGGTCACTGTCAGTTTGTTCCTTATTTGCAAGTCTCTGGTTCTATTTTACTCATTTGTTTTGTTGATTAGGTTACACTTAGAGGTGAGATCACATGGTATTTGTCTTTCACCACCTGGCTTATTTCACTTAGCATAATGCTCTCCAGCTCCATCGATGCTGTTGCAAAGGGTGGGAACTCCTTCTTTCTTTCTCCTTTGTGGTATTTCATTATGTAAAAGTACCGCAGTTTTTTGATCCACTCATTTACTAATGGGCACTTAGGTTGTTTCCAGCACTTGGCTATTGTAAATGCTACTATGAACACTGGGATAACTTTTCTTAATTAAAAAATTAATCATTAAAATTTGTATTTATATGGGAATTTGTGGTTTATACTGACTAGTTAGAAATTCTAAATACAACATCACAACAACCCTACAACATGTTATACCTCTCTTTTTCAGGTGAGGAAACTGAGCCTTAGGAAAGAAGTAACTTGTCCAAAGTCAAATAGAAAGTTACTGACAATACAGAACCCAGAGAATCCTTGTCTCCCAATTCAGAGTTCAGTGTTATAAAGCATATTTTTAAACTATATAAGCCTTCCCATAACAGTGGTTGTCCATGAGAGTAAAATCTCGAGAACTTTTATGTACTTTTTTATACATTTAGTTTTAAATTTTCTACAAAGTAAAATTTTAAGTTAAACTAATTGCTTGTCAGTGATTTTAAATCACAAGAATAAACACAGGCAAGTTAGCTAGCAATTTGCTTAGAAATTTTGTACTTTAACTACATAGCTTAAAAGCTCTACTTATGAATCTATTGTAACATTTTGCTATCTACATGAAGCCAAATTGTATCAGCTGATCAGAACACAGTACTAATGAGGCCAAAATCAAAAGTATAATTTCTGATCTTTCTAATTAAGGGTACCACAGAGAAAAACTCACAAATTCTTATTTCTGAATAATTTTCCTGAAGATGTCACAGAAGAGCAAACAATACAATCCATCCCTTGGTAGAGAAAATAATCCAAAAAATAAAAGATCTAGGTTCCTTAGTGATCAGGAACAAATACAAATTATATGGGGCCTGAAGCTTGTATAATTTGAAGAGCCTTCTTAAGTAAATTAGGTACAAAATTACATATAAAAATAATGAGAAAAAATAAAAAATAATTTCAAAACCTTAAAAGTTAATAAAAATCACAATATCCTAGAAAAATATTAGTATTATTATTAATTACAGTAACTGCCTGATACACCTCTTCAAGACATTTTTTGTACATTGATCATCTCTTCCTATAACAGCGATTTTATTTTCAAGAGGAAGAATAGAAATTTTGTCTTCCCTGTCATGGCTGTGGAAATTACTTTTATTATTCAGTTTAGAAAAGTTTCTTTCAGTTTCACAACTCCTTACTGGTAACAGCACATCTGCAATTTCCTCCAATAGTTTTTTGCTCAGGAGGTGCTCCTAGCCTGGACAAGCTTTGGAACATCATGCCCACACACAGTGCTGCTTCACCAGCCAATCCAGCTCCACCAGGTCTTCAATATCCCAACTACACCATGAGGCCTAAGTTGTAGTGACCCTTGAGCAAGGCAGGGAGCAGTGTCCCACTCAGATTCTTCTTTGGTATAAAGATGGAGTCCAGGTGGTCAACAAGATCCCCCAAAACAGGCTGTTGTTGGGGGCAGATGGATGTAAAGGAAAAGCCTAGATTCTGAACCTAAGCAAAGAACTGGTTAAAAGATCCTCAGCAGATTACAAACTGCCTACTTGGGGTTCCAAATGTTTTCTGTTCCTGGATTTTCTGTTGTTATCTTCCAACTGTAGTAACAGATTATTATTTCAAACTGGACTTCTAGTAGTGGTTGGCTATCCAGGTTACAATCTGCTACCTAAGTCTCTGTCTAATACCTATCACAATAGGCTTCCCCCTAGTACCTGCAGCTGGAACTATGCCTCCAAAAACCATCTCAAAACCATTAATAGGTTTAGTTTCAAGCCCTGGTCCTGAAAAAAGCAACTGACTAGTCCTGAGGAAACTAGCAGGAGTAATAAAACCAAAACTCATTTTTTACAAATAAAAATATTGTTTTGATGTATTTATTAAACACTTTATTGAAATTTTCCTTTTTTAAAAAATATGGTATCTTCAATGAAAGTTAGGATAATATTAACTTCACAAGGCTATTATAAGGATTATTAAAATAACATATTGAAGCACTGAACAATGACAAATATACGACACATGTTTGGTGCTGTTTTCCAATACTTTGTTCCCAAACTATTTCCTTCAGTAGTTGTCACTTACCCAAGAATACTAAAATCCAACCTAAAATAAATCCATGTCCCCTTTTCTATCAATTTTTTCATAATATTTAGGCTTTACACTCAGATCCTTATGATAATGACCCAGAAGTACCCTCACCATCTTCCTTGATAGTCCTCTTCATTTCTTGGCTCCTACCACTGCAAATGCATACGTATTCAATATTTGTTTCCATCTTTTCTTTCTTATTCTCATTCCATTTACCTTGAAACAGACTGTCTAACTAGGTAGGATAAGATTGAGCATTGTATTCAGTCCTCAATTTCTAAATATATCCAAAAATACGATAGAGTTGTTCCTGACTCTTTGCCTATTATCAGTTAGATCATTAATAATCCATAGCAAAATCATAAATTCATTGTAATAAATATTGGCAGAAATTTCAATAGCATGAAGAGTTCTTTGGAAACATAATCACTGCTAAATTTATCTAATGTTCTCTTAATTTCTTTTATTAAATGTAGCTAATATTGATATAGTTGTTATTAAATTTAGAAATTTCCTAAATGTAATTCTGTCCAAGAAAGAAGAAGGGGATGAAGGAGAAGGGAAGGGGAAAGAGAAAGAAAGAAGAAGAAAGATAAAAGAAGAAAAAACTCTTAAGTAGACTCACCTCCAACCATTCTTGTTCCCCTCAGTATTCGACTGAGTAGACTTAAACACAGAATCTTGACTTCTCAGAGGATGAGAAACAGAATGTGGTATTTGCCTTTTGAGGAAACACATCTTATTAAGTGTTAATAGTTTGTTTCCAAGTTCAGAAATGTAAAATATACATCGAAGATAAAACATCAGTCAGTAACAGACACACATTTAGTAATGTATATTTTTTCACATACCCTGTGTTCATTGTTGTCGTTGAAGGAGGCAACTCTGGATTCACTGCTTCCCAGGCCCAATCTCAAAAGATATAAGTAGTAGAGAAAAAAGTAATATGTAGTATTTTTAAAATAATTATTTCATACATATTTAAGTTGATCGTTGAAAGCCTGAAGAAAAGAATTGAAAGATATGGACTTGTTCTTCAGTAGCACTTTGTTGTGGAATTTCTCACAGCCTGCCTTATTAATTTTTATAGATGTCTTTCTTCCCCATTGAGTTTTAAGCACAGGTAATAGTTTCATCTGCATCTTTTTTCCACAATCAACCCGAGTATAATACCTTGTACTCTGTATTATGAATTTAGTGTAATCAATGTTTCTTAAACTTTTTGATCCCAACCCACAGCAAGAAATACATCATAACCTAGAACATATAAATCTGTGGTGTGCATGTGTGTTGTGGGAGAGGGAGAAAAAAGCATAAAATTTTGCCATCAATTTTTATTCTTACTGTGTGTAATATACTCTGATATTTTCTATTCTATTCTACTCTGCTCTCTTATGTTTATTTTCTTTTAAGATTGGTTGTTTCCCAACCTAGCTCTCAAAATTTCAAACATACTGATCTAGTCTTATCTCTTACCCAATATAAGAATCTTATCATAACTCTGACAGACAGTTATCCTGGTCAGAGCCTGTAGAAATCAGTAGTTCAGCAGGATGCACATTTCTCTCTGGAGCAGCTCAAATTATTATTTTTCAAGGTCAACATTATGATACATATAAAAATATTTTAGCTGGTGGAGAATTTTTTAAATGGCAGAAGATGACCAGACAAATGCCCATTTATGCATATCCATGTTAATTTTTATCCACAAAAATGGGGATGAGATAAAATTTTTACTTCAAATTCCTCAAATGCTGAAAAAACAAAGTAACTATTAATTTAGAAGTAAATTAAGGTCTGTGGTTAAACACTGAATAAAATTAACAATACAAGTATTGAGAGGGAAAAAAGAGAGATTGATTGATTAATTTTAAAACTCTACTTGCATAAGATCCTATTAAAGATTTTTTAAATGTGCCCAGAAAATTGCAAATGTATATAATCAGCATGTACCGAGTATATTTCAGAATATCTTACTGTCCATGCTTTCTTCTAAGATAAGTAAAAAATCAATAAACTTTAAGACCTCCCAGGACAACCACCACAGCTAATTGTTTCAGAGATAAAACCAGTATTTTCACAACCTCATTTAAAAAGATGAGCTGAATCAGAGACTCTCTCTCTCTAGAATTTGAATCACAAGATTCAGAGGGCAGTCAATAATGTGCTCTGAGAGCTAGAACTAAAAGGTTAAGTTAACTCCCATTAAGGGCAATTTAGTTCATGTGCTGGTTGAAACTATAAGAAAGCCAACTGGATAGGAGAGTAAGAGCCAACAAATAAAGAAAGGCAAAAATGCTGTAAGAGAAAAAAGCCTAAGGCCAAATGCTAGGAATTCCTGGGCTTCTAGTCTTCCTATGATCTATTTTTTTTTTCATTTTTCCTGTGTTCCCATGCACACTTATTCTTGAGGCAACTTGAGTTTCTTCATTCTTTAGCACCAAATATCTAAGTCACAATATCCATATGTATCTTGAAAAAGACAAAAATTCTTTACAATGTAGGTTACCACTTCATTAGAACAAAGGCCCCAGATCTAAGATACTCCATTTAAAATGCTAAACCACCCTTATAGACAAGGAAACTCAAACTACTGTCTTGGAATGTTCAGAAGGAGCCAAGTAATCTCTATATACGGATAATGGAAAGAAGAAAAACATAAACTTTCTATATCCCTTATAATAAAAGAGAAATGGTAATTTTCTATAATTTTAGTTCTTATTTTCTCAAAGTTTTCACCTTATTTTCTTACCTGTTGGTAGAGAAGGGAAATCATAACTGTCAGAAGTAGTACTGATACCTGGATCATTTTTAAGTGGATTGGAAGTTAGTGGCTGTCTAGTCCTCTTTTTCTGATTGAACAATGGTACAGGCAAACAGCCTAAATTGAATGTTCCAATGAATTAGTATATCATAGGAAAACAGATCTAGTTATAGAATAATCTACTTCTAAATGTTAATTGATATTTAATATAAATATATTTCTATATCTTTGTATTGATTCTTACATTATTTTTAAGATCCTAAATAGCCTCATTTGTTTCTCTAAATACTTTCTTTTAAAAAAATTTATTTTTCATTTACAGTTTACATTCAACACTACTTTGTATTAGTTTCAGGTGTAGGTGTACACCTACAGGTAGACAACCTACAGGTAGACAACCATGTACTTTACACAGTGATCCCCCTGGTATTTCAAGTACCCACCTGGCACCATACAAAGTAATTACAATATTACTGACTATATTCCCTAGCTGCACTTTACATTTCTGTGACTATTTTATAACCACCAATTGGTACTTCTTAATACCTTCACCTTTTTACCTGATCCCCCCAAAACCCTTACTCTCTGCCAACCATCAATCTGTTCTCTGTATTTATAAGTCTGTTTCTATTTTGTAAGAACTTCTTTCTTGTTCTACTTTAACAGTGCCTTAATTCCTCTTGTTTGGAAATAATTCCTAGCTCTTCCCTCATCCCCCAACCCTTTCCAAATCTACTTTTCATTTTCCTTATTTCCCACCTATGTTTGCCTATTACCATGTCAACTGGAGGGGACCCTTCACATACAAAAGAGGTGAGGGAGAACCAGACTTTGACCCATCCTTTCCAAAACCCTAAACACTCTTCGGTCTATGTTGGCACACCCTTTAGGGCCATGGTTCTCAAACTTCAGTTTGACTAAGATTTAACTGGAATTGTGCTTAACGTGCCAGTTCCTAGACCCCATTCTCATGGATTTTATTTCAATAGATTTGGTTTGGAAGCCAAAACTCTGCAATTTTAACAAGCACTCCAGGTATCTGTAATGCATATTTTCAGTGACTTTGATAATGCCTTAGAGTGATGATATCCAATTCAAATGAGAATATGTACTACTCTATATTCTTTAGATAAGATACCTTGGATCTCAAGTCAAGACAAAAAGCAGAATTTATTAGCAATAGAACTAGAAGGGACCTCAGAAGAAAAAAGGTCCTAAAAACTTGTACACTGCTACAGTGGAAGAAGCTAGGTAGGACCCAAGCTTCCTAAATCTTAGTTTAGATATCTTGCCACCATGCCATACTCCAGCTGATCCATTAAAACTTCTGTGCTACAGGAGAATGTAGATTCTGTGACAATTGTCTGATGAAATGATGTTGGCTCTTGAGTCAGACTTCCTGGGTTTGGATTACAACTTCAAAATAGGGTTGAATTGCATACAACTTCGAAGTATAAACTTGAGCAATTTCTTTAAACTAACTGGGCCAGTATGACATATACTGAGAGGCAGGATAATACAGTGATTAAGAGTCTGGATTCTAGAGACACAATCCTAAGTTCAAATCCTGGTTCTGCCACTTCCTAAGTTACTTATTTAACAACATCTTTGTGTCTTAGTTTTTCACCTGGAACACAAGGATGATAATAATAATACCTATCTCAAAGGATTGGTGTAAGTATTAAATATATTACTACATAAACGTCTAGAATATAGCACATCCACCATAAACAATAGCTATTATTATCTTAATTGCTCATTGTCATCATTCCCCTGGTTCTCTTCAATCTTGCTCTCTAACTAATAAGTTGGGAAGCAAAAATGGTAGAGGAAGGTGTTAGGAAGACAGAATTGCTTCTGGAAATATTTTAAATAAGGCACAAATACAAATAAAAAATAAATCTGTTTCTTTGTTTTGAGCCTAAAAGCAAGAACAACTCAAGCACATAGGGTTTGTAGGAAGAACACTCATAAATCCAGAGAAGTTTGGGTTTATTCTCACCATTGCCACTAAATGTTTTGTCTTCAGTTATTCTATGTCCTTGGACCTAAATAGTAAAGAGGCTAAACTACACGTTCAATCGTTTTAAATGTTCCTTCCAAAATGCTCCATCTATAAATTTCATAAGCTTTACATGGTATATACAAAATATAGAAAATTTAAAAGTAAAAGTTGTACAATACCTGCTGTACTTCGAATTGAACTTTCATTTAGGTTTCTCTTCATTTCCTTCAAAATCAAAGTCTATAACTTTTTCTGTAACACTCCAAATTTACAAGAAGTCATTTGACTACACCTTCAAAGAAAGAAATTTGTAGCTCATATTCTCTCAACAAGGTCAAATTCTGAGCCTAATTACTGAAATCAAGATTTAAGACTACAGTTTCAGATGTGATCATGTGAACACTGTACAGAGTCTCTTGCTTCTAAGAACTAACAACATAAACTGTCTGTCAGCCCTGTTCAAAACAAGCTAAGACTGGGGTGGCTGAGACCCTGCCTTCTGAACATGCAGGAAGTTCACACAGTCTACGGAATCGGTCTCCGAACTAGCGACCCCCGCGGAGAACAGCTCGGACCCAGGCGGAGGCAGAGGGCGAAGCACCACAGCACTGGCAAACGCGCATGCTCGGAAGGCTGGGAGGTGCCGTGTGCGCCGCTGACTAGCACGCGAGAGCACGCGGCCTCCCCCTTGTAGACACTGCGCGCGCCGTCCGTTCGGGCCCTCAGTCTGAGATCGCTGGGTCGTGCAATGCCAAAGACCACGGCCTCGCCTAACACCCACAATAACTGAAACGATGTTTCCACTCAGTGTCTACAACTTCAACAAGTGAAACAAGTTTTCCTGTGTGTGTTTTTTTCTTTTACAACACACGTGAATACACCTAAGTAACAATGCAAATCATACTGAGGTAAATACTGATTTTCAAATATTTTTGATAGAAATACGACTTGGAAAACACAGGGCCGCGACTGCCTCTGTTTAGTCTCATACCGTGTGCTTTAAGCTGCATCTAGCAGGCCCGTTAGAAAATACTCTTCGTGCCATTCTAGGAACCAAAACAGAGGTTCATACTTTCTCTCCGCACTTTGAAATACCAATGCAACTCACATCCTAAACCCAGAGGGTGCTTACAAGGGCTATTAAGTTTCTGTGTATCATGCAAATAAAATAAACACAGGAAAGTTCAACATCCACCCCCTGCACCACTGTCTGAGTTACCCACTCCCCTGTTTCTGGGCCCGAATGGCATCAATGAATGGCATCAGCGTGGTTGGCGACATCAATAAGCCAAAAGTTTGCTCAGTTTACAAACCCAAGCACTCGCACGTGTGCACACACACACACAGACACACACACAGCGCCCCCAAACACAACTTCTTCAGAGGGAGGCCTAGAGGGGCTATTTTGCCCACTTTTGGAGAGTTGGGGGTTCCAGTTGGGGCTCACGCTCTTACAACATTCTCTCCTCACCCAGGGAATGGGGCAGTTTGGGAACTAGCGACAACAGCATAGTCTTTCTTTTCTTGGCTCTCCTACCAACCCCATACGCTACTTTTACCCTCAGATTCTGTCGCCTCAGTCAACGGTCAGCCTCGGTCAACGGTCGAGGAGACTGCCCGTCAGCTATGGCGGACCTCACAAAAAGCACAGGAAGTCAAGTTGTGCGCAGGCGCACCCCAGCGTCCCAGACTGTGCGACCAAACCACTCCCCCAACACCCCAACTGGTGCGCAGGCGCAGAGGCCACCATTTGTAAAATGGGCGCAATGACGTTGTTCGTTCTGCTGCTTACAAGGGAACCACCCATGCCCCTTCTCTGAAGACCCCTAACGTTAACACACCTCCCTCTTGTGTCCTCACACGGTGTATACAAGGCACAGGGATGGATCTACCTCCTTAGAGTTCTGCACAGAGAAGGAAGATCCTGTTCTCGTCCTCGCTAAGGCGATGACAGATCTGTCCAGCCGGTTTCTGCCCCAGATTTGTTAGAAAAGGGTATCAGCGATGGTCACCCCATCTACACCCCGAGGTCATTTCTTAGGTTCTAAACAGTCTGTAAGATGCTGATGGCAACCAAAGTGTGCCTAGAAGAGGTCATAGGCCTCACAAACCAGGTCACAGGGTCTCGCTTGGTCTGGCTGTGCTTCTGAGTCACCACAATCGGGGAATTCGTCCCCAGAAGGCTGGTGGGAGCTGGGATCCGGGTTTAGATGGCAGCCCTGCAAGGCAGAGAGCAGCCAGAGAGTCAGGCCCAGTGCTGCACCAGTGCAGGAGAGGAACAAAGCACACACGCCTCACACACCTGGGTCCCAGGAAGGAAGTGGGTGGGTGCAGTGACCCTTAACTCTGGCCCGTGCCCCACTACGTTGCTGCTTGCTGGCCCCTTTGATCTTGAGCAAGTGTTTTGCCCCCTCCAGACCTACTTTTCCTGCTCAGAAAAGGAGTGATACAGCGTTTACATCGTTGCCCTGAAAGTATTGAAAGAGAAAATGAACAGTTCTGGCACACAGTAAATGCTGTATAAACGTCAGCCCTTATTGAATAACAGTAGCTGCCATTTATTGAATACTTACTATAGGCTTGGGTTCAAAGACCATGTTTTGTCGTTACCACACCTTCGACCACTTGAAGACTGGGCTAGGTGAAGGGCAGAGGTGCAGAGGGCGCAGAGGGAGAGGGAAGGCTGTTAGGAAAGGTCTAGGACTGTGACACCGTGAGACATAAGAGTACTTTCTTTGAAGATTAGGTCAAAGGAAAGTGTTAGGAGATAAGATTAGAGGTAGACTGAGAATAGATAATATGGAACATTGTATAGTAAACTTCAGAATAAGTTTGAAGAAATATAGTTTTTATTTAATCTGGAGAGGATTTTAAACAAAATGTCTGAAAAGACTTGTTATTCATCATGGTTCCAGATAGGAGACTTTAAAAAATTAATGAGTAGAAGCTTCAAGGAAGCCAATTTCAACCAGATGCATACATATATATACACACAATACCCACCAACTCTCCAAAAATAGATTTTTCACTAAAAAGAAAACTATAAACCCACTATGAATAATATCCTGTGCTATATCTGTAAGGAATACAGACATGAGCAATGTGGAATATTTGCTAGCAGTTTACAAACATACCTGTCCTATACCTATCCTGTTCTAGTTATCATTTGTGTCCACCTAGAAAGCTGGTCAGGATGGCGACAGCAATGGGGACATAGGAGGAGAAGAAAATTAAAAGAGTGAGAATAGTTTGATTACCTGACTGCAGGACCACCACACTATGTAAGAGACACCTTACGTACAATATTGGAGAGAAGACCCTCCTTATCCCTCAATCATACTATTTTAAAAGTAAACCCACTGACATTTGTCTCCCATAACTCTCTGACATTGATCTATTAAACAGCCATGGCTATGAAATTTATACTGTCCCTTTGTTTTAAAACACATTACTTTACCAGTAAATCAGACACCACCATCCCCATTACTTTACCAGTAAATCAGACACCACCTTCCAAAACTACATTTGTAGTGCTGGAAGTTACTAGGCTTATTCTTTCAAGTACTTCAAAATACTAAAACTCAACCTAATAGTGAGACTGTGACAACTAGAAAGGAGTCCCCTTTGTATATTACTAGTTCTCTGAACTTTCAAAACATAACTAAATTAATTTAAAAATGTGGTTTTGTGGGGCTCCTAAATTTAGTGTGCTTTGGGAAACAGGGAGTTAAAAATCTTTTGGAAGTTAACTTGGTATAAGAGTATGAAAAGACTCTGTTGCCCTACTTCTAAGGAAATGCTCTACTTTTTTCTAATAAAGCTTTCCAACAGAAGACAAACTCTGTACACAATTTTAAAAAGGTAAGTATGGGACAGATTTACTGGAATTTATTAGCTCTCAAAAAAGTTACTTTGCATGTAAGGGAAACTTTACTTACAAATGTTAAATGTGCTTCAAAGTGCTGATCTGTGAAAATTCCATAAAACGAGCCTCGAAATCCGAGTCATCTGTGCCAGCTATGAGTAAATAACTGAAACAGCACTTCCAGAAAGACTGGGGCAAAGGACGGGACTAACCACAAATCGGCAGAAAACAACAGACAAAATATAATCAAGTATTAATAATTCACCATAGTTACTGCTCTTAAAACCAAAGGAACTAAATGATGTAACTACTGTCTGTTTGTATTTATACTTGTTTTCAGCATCTCTACACCGAAGTGTTCAAGTGTACATCATGTGGGTAGAAAATCAAAGGCTACTGGGGCTTTTATTTAGGACAGTCACTTTATTATGTAAATTTATATTTTATTAGATTGCTTTCTCTATCTATACATTATAATCTTTTAAAGGAAGAACATAGGAATGGGTTTATTAAATGTTTTGAAGTATTTACATTTTCTATTTCTATCATGCATTTTGTTTGTATACTTGTTTGTTTCTTGGTCACATGTGTAGTGACTGTTTATGTGAATTCTAAATGAGCAAAATTAGAACTTTGGGGAAGGCAAAAATTAACAGATCACCCTATTGTTCTGTGAAAAACACTGAACTTAAAATTGGAAAACCTGGGTCCCGGGCAGAGTTTTTCTCCTGATAGCTGAGAAACCTTAATCAAGTTACTTAACTTCTCTTTCCTTTACCCCTCCAATGGGAATGTCAATACCTGACATGCCCTATCTTATAAAGTGGATATGTGAATAAACTGAGATAACATGGGCAGAAAAACATTGTAGATAAAACTACTTTGCAGTTATCATTAATTATTCTTGTTGTACCTCTATCAAAAAATCTTTCATGACTAGTACATACAATGTTTCCAGCACTGGCACATATTTAACTTTCTGGGCAATTGTGCATGAAATCAAATCAAATTTGGTTCAGAATCATTTCTCCAAGGGAATATAATCATCTTAATGTTCTGGCTAGCTTCCCCTAATAAGACCCCCTCTTGAGTAACACATTCCAGTGGAGAGTCTGTGCTGGCAGTAAGTTAGGTGTACTGTGTCTGCATAAACTTATATAATCTGGTTGGTATATACAGCATGCCCCTAGACATTTTCAGGCATTACAAAGCCTTGAAAATTACTAACAATTGCTTTTTCTTTAGCATTGAGTCAAGAAAGTGAGAAAGATTCTTAAGGACGTTGATACAGAATTACCAAAAACTTCACGAGAAAGAAATTAAAGGCTTGTTTCCAAGTAGCTTTTTAAGTCCCAGTGATTATTGCTTGGGGCTTTTGTGTCTCTGACCACAAAAAAAGCATTCTGAGCGCTGGTCAGCTAGCTCAGTTGGTTAGAGCATCATCTCCATATGCCAAGGTTGCAGGTTTGATCCCCAGTCAGGACACATACAAGAAGCAACCAATGAATGCATAAGTTAGTGGAACAACAAATCAATCTCTCTCTCTCTCTCTCTCTCTCTAAAAATCAGTTAAAATAAATTGTTTAAAGCATTCTGAAGGTCTGCCCTTGGCTGTTTGTACAGATGAAATTCAAATGCCCTCAGATGAAGAAAAGCACCTGAACTCATTTTAAAGAAGAAATGTTTTTAAATACAAGTGGAAATTATAAATATTGAACAATAATATGCATTTTATGTCATTTTTTATTTTTGAGGATTAGAAATGTAAAAATTTTTGTATTACCACAAATGGGCATGAAAGCACCATTATATGGTCTAGCTGAAATGAAAACACAATTTTTGTGTTAGAATAAAATGCTAATTTATTACTGCATTTAGATCTACCCACCATTTGAGGGAGTCAGAAGTCAAAGTGAACAGCTGTAACTCTAGTTGATCTCTGCATATTTTGATCCAAATATGGTAAAGGGCAGGGCTGCAGAAGGGAGTGCCCCTATAATAAACAAGGCTGCAAACTCGTAACAGAGAATTAAAGTACACTCCACTCAAGAGAACTCTGTACTTTGCACTTTGGTTAAAGTCTCATTTAGATTTAAATTTCTGAACTTTTCTAAAGAAATTAAGTTTTCTTTGATCTCCTCTCTTGTAAATTGCAGGAATCAGATAAAATTTTTTGATAAAATGACTTCATGCCATGTTGTTAAAGATTCCATTAAAAAAGTTGCTATCTTTGGAGGAACTCACGGCAATGAGCTAACAGGAGTATTTCTAGTTAAGCACTGGCTAGAGAATGGCACCGAGATTCAGAGGACAGGGCTGGAGGTGAAACCATTTATCACCAACCCAAGAGCAGTGAAGAAGTGTACCAGATACATTGACTGTGACCTGAATCGAGTTTTTAACCCTGAAAATCTTGGGTAAGGCTACATTTTGGGGGGTGTGTGTGAAAGAGAGAAAGAGAGAGAGAGAGAGAGAGAAAAGTGGTGTGTGTGGGTGTGGGAGAGAACATGTATATGTATATTTATGTGCTATTCCTGTGGTCACTATTGTGAATAAAATCACTTTCGCTTTCAATCACACCCTATTATGAATTGCTCAGTTCTCTAAACTGGGCATTCACATGCTGTTTTATAAACCTTTTTTAAGCATCAGACTATTCTCAACTGATTTTCTTCTTAAATGTATTCTCTACAGAGATAAATAACAAAAGTTTTTACTTTTAAATCTATCTTTAAAGAAATAGATTTAATAGTCTTTTGAATTATTAGTGTTTGGTCATGATACTTGGGTATGTATGCATGAGTTAGGTTTCTAGGTTATTCACTACTATGTTTTTATGCAACTATGTTTATGGTACTGCATAAAGTTCTAGTTAAGAAAAGTGTAATGTCTTGATTAATATTTGGTCAATGAAAGTATCCAACCATAACACTCTAGGTATGTTCTGATTAATTATTTTTGCCTCTGTTTACATCATTATAGCTACTACTGTACATATGTAGGTCTCTAATTATTTTCTTTTTACCACTTCTTTCACCTGTCGAAAAACATTACTATACACCTACTCTTCTGTTCCAGGTACAATGTGAGTACAAAGCTATGTGCAAAGTAGTTTCTACCCTTAAAAAGTCATCAGACTAGTAGCTAGGATATAAGACAGGGACAGGAACAACTAACACGGTGCTGTTGTATGTACTCATTTTCTAGTAAAAGCTAATTTGAGTTTAAAGAGTTACTTAAATATAATCCCACCACAGATCAAAAGATGGTTACTACTTTTAGTACAAATATGACTCACTTTATGGAATAGATTTTTTTCCCAGGCAATTACACATTAGTCATACTTTGTGTATCAAATCATATTTTTACTAGCATAAATTTTAATTTCAATAATGCTTTGTCTTCATGATTGAGGTTATGTCAACACAATTAAAATTTATCTATTCACTCAAAATGGCTATTAACTAACTCATATTACGAGTAAGAATTTGTTGAAGAATAACTCTTACAGATGACATGTTAACTTCCCAAGTAACTCTTAAATGGACTAGGGTGAGTTTTCTCATATGACCACTCAATATTATGCATTTCAATGAGAGCAGTCTTTTAAAGTAAATCCACCTTCTATTGTACTTTTTACATTTAAATGCAATTCAGAGGCTAGGCAGTCCCCTCTCAGGATGGCATGGAAACTCATGAGGCAGATAAATTAATTGCCTCCTCCTGTCCTCCTTCTCCCCAGTTAGTGACTTCTCCTGTGTTCTCCATCTCAGCAATATCAGCATTAGCCACCAAATCCTCTGTGAAAATCATCTTGGAACCTTCCTCATCCTTCATCCCCCTCATCTAGTAGGTCACTAAGTCTTCCTAAATAGTCAAGTATTGAATAATTGCAAATATTCTGCAAATCCAATCTTCCTTTCCATTTTCACTACATTAGTTTATTTCTTCTGGAGGCAGTCAGAGTAGCCTCCTGAAGAATCCTTCTGCATCCTGCCTTAGTCCAGTCCTTCCTGCCATGGAGTCTCTCTCTGGTAGCAGCCATAAGGATCATCTTAACATGCAAATCTTTTTTTTAATTTTTTATTGTATTTGTTCCATTACCATATAACCTCCTTATATACTCTTCCACCCTGCAATCACCACACTGTTGTCCATGTCCATGAGCCCTTTTTCCTTTTTGCTCAATTCCTCCACCCCCTAACCTCCCCACTCAATAGCTCTATCTAAGAGTCTGTCTATATTTAGCTTGTTCATTCAGTTTTTTCATTAGAGTCTATATATAAGTTAAATTATGTGGTTCTTGTCTTTCTCTGACTGGCTTATTTCACTTAGCATAATGTTCTCCATGTCCATCCATGCCATCGCAAAGGTTAAAATTTTCTTTTTTTATGGACAAGTAGTACTCCATTGTGTAAATGTCCCATAGTCATTTTATACACTCATCTACTGGTGGACACCTGGGCTGCTTCCATATCTTGGCAGTTGTAAATAATGCTGCACTGAACATAGGGGTACTTATGTTCTTTCATATTAGTGTTTTGGGTTTCTTCAGCTCCAACAATTCTCAGAAGTGGGATTGTTGGGTCATACGGCAGTTCCATTTTTAATTTTTTGAGGTATTTCCATACTGTTTTCCACAATAGCTGCACCAGTCTGTGTTCCCACCAACAGTGCAAAAGTTCCTTTGCATGTTAGATGTGCATGTTAGTTACCTAATATCAAAGTATACTATAAGGCCATAGCTAACATGCATGCAAATCTTATCATGTCTCTCCCCTGCTGAAAATTCTTCAAAAATCTTTTATCCAGAATAGATTTAAGTAACTTAGCACAGCTGATGCACTCTTTAGGGTCTTCCTCTGCCCACTCTTTTAGCTTCATCCTTTGGGACTCTTCCTTATGACCTGGACTCCAGGTATGAGAACTCAAAGTATCCATTATCCTTTAAGGCTTCAAGCCTTGAGTCTGAGCAACTGGATGGCTAGTGGTTAACTCATACAGGAGAATTAGAAGCTAATCATTTGGGAGTGGGAGAACCTAATTGAGCTGTTTCATGAATTAACTTTGAAAATGCTTATACTAATATATCTATTAGAAACTATGTTTAGTTAAAAATAATAGAAACTGGAAGACAGTGGCTTAAACAAATAAGGATTTCTTTTTCACAAATAATAAGTCCAGGCACTCAGTGGCTCAATGATACCATGAATGCCACAGGTTCCTTTCATCTTCCCACTATGCTGTCCTTAGCATGCAGCATTTGACGTCATAGTTTTTGCTTCCTGGTCAAAAACCAGCTGCTCTACCTTCCTGATTGCAGCCCAGGCAGAAATTACCCAGGAGCAAACTGTAGGTCCCTTGAAGATACTAGCAAAAATAATCAGGAAACAGAAATACATAGATGGAATTATAAAGAAATGGTTGAATGGTTTAATGAGAAAGATAAACTTAAATCATCATCATGTATAGTAAGAAAAGAATTTATCCTAACCATCACAGGAAATAGTGAGGGGGCAGGTAGAGGCTCATTTCAGAATTCAATAAAAACTATTAACCTTTATCCCAGGAAAAAGTTGCATATATCTGCAAAAGTGTTGCATTTTCTCAGTGTTTACAGACTTGTCTGTGAAGCTTGTCCCTGGATCCCTAGTGGTGCCTGAGCCTCAGTTAAGAATCCTTAATTAGACAATGTGAACATTGTCTAAGTTTAACTATCTTTATGCACTGCAGTTAGCTGGAGGGCAAAAAAATTGCATTTGATTTTCTAACCCCATAGTAGCCCAGTCCACATAGCTACTAAGAAACTTGACTTAATCAATGGACAAATTTTGTTCAAGGTTGAAGTCAAATGGTAAATTCTGTTTGAAATGTCCTTCCTTTGACAGCCACGTAAATGAGATATTATTTGAGAGCATGCCAATACAACATTACATAGGATCAAATGAAGGAAACAAATGTAATTTTTCATTTGTAATGTTTTCAAATAAGTTTCCATTTCCCTCACAGGTTTTTAAAAGATTGGCAACTGGTTCCTTACACACTGTGTTATTATTTTATATTTGTGTTATATTAGCCACAGATATTGTTAATCTTTTTCTTTCTGCTAATGACAGCAAAAAAAATTCAGAGGATTTGCCATATGAAGTAAGAAGGGCTCAAGAAATAAATAATTTATTTGGTCCAAAAGACAGTGAAGATTCTTATGACATTATTTTTGACCTTCACAATACTACCTCTAACATGGGGTGCACCCTAATTCTTGAAGACTCCAGGAATGACTTTTTAATTCAGATGTTCCATTATATTAAGGTAATGTCAATGTTATTAATTTGTAACTTACAATAAGACCTGTACTTTGAAGTCAATTTCAGACATAAAACAACCAGAAAAGGGATCAGGAGGGAGTGTCTGAGAGAGATGGAGAAGTGGGAGGGGGGGAAATGAAGGGAAATGAGTAAAAGAATAAAACATTTGTAGATTCTTATATCTATAAAATTATAAATCTTTTATCCAGACAGCTACCAAATCATAGGCTATTTGGTAAAATTAATACCAAAAGTTAAAATGATATGGTTGAAATAGTTCAATTACAGTTTTAAGAAGCTCAAAAACAGTCGTTTAATGTTGACTATAGACCAATGATGAAAAGATTGACTCTCTTTAGGCCTGCCCTTCTCTGCCTTTGATTCAGATACCCCAGCACACATCTGGTCTGTCAGTGCTTCACATAGCTAACCATGTCAAGGCTCAGAAGTCTACAGGGCAAAAAATTCAGCAATCCAGTGCTTACAGCTAGAGAAAAATTACTGGAAAATAACAACTCAGCAAAAACACAAATAATAATCTGTATGCTTATTATTGTATAATAAATGTCCTTCCTTCCAGAGAGCCGGTATGATTTAGAGGAAAGAATTTGACCCATGTAGCCAGGAGAACCTAAGTTCAAATTCTGACTTCCTCATTTACTACCTTAGATAAGATAACTCCCAAAAATCTTGCTTTCCTCATTTCATAAAGTTTACATAATAACAACATTTATTTATAAGGCTGTTAAAAGCCTTAAATAAGAAAGTACTTAAAGCATTTAGCCTAATACCTCGCAGACAGTAAAGATTGGCCATTATTTTGTTTCCTTTGAGTTTTTGACAACAACTAGATAGTTCTGTAGGAGATCATAATAAAGCTATTCTTTATTGCTCATTGAAGGAGAGCTGAATGCTTTGGTTGCCAGGCATGGAAGCAGCATGGCTGACAATGCTATCAAAACTGGGAGGCCTGTCTTGAACTCTCATTCAGATCAGTGGAGGTAGCAGGAATTACCCAGCATCTGCAGAGACCTGGATCGCAGGGATAGGTACAGAGTTCTTTAAGAGCAATACTAAGCTAAATAGTAAGTGTGACCAGTGATGAAAAAAGAAATAACCAAATTCATTCAGAAGGAAAACTTATGTCATGTTCTTTAATAATAGTTCTTCTGAATTTAATTTATATTTTACCCAGAAAGCTATGCACAATTCAATTTTATATGTAATTTATGTTTATGTTTTCAAAGCTTCAGTAACAACACTGGGTTTTAGAGTTTGTCTCATAGAGCTCTTACTAATCTTAGTAGATATAGTAAAACATCTTGAAGGCATTATTGACTCTGTAGCAGGAGAAAGAGCAAAGCATATGGTTTTGACATAATGAGAAAGATGTTTTCAATTCATTTCAGACTTCTTTGTCTCCATTGCCCTGCTACGTGTATCTTATTGAGCATCCATCCCTCAAATATGCAACCACTCGCTCTATAGCCACATATCCTGTTGGTAAGTCATACTTCCCATTGTCACAACTAAACAAAATGTGTCCTAAATGAAACGTTGAGAAAAAAATGTTTTTAAGAATATTTAGCCTTGGCTGGTGTAGTTCACTGGATTAAGCATGGGCCTGAGAACCAAAGGGCCGCTGGTTCGATTCCCAGTCAGGGCACATGGCTGGGTTGTGAGACAGGTCCCTAGTAGGGGGCTCATGAGAAGCAACCACACATTGGTGTTTCTCTCCCTCTCTTTCTCCCTCCCTTCCCTTTTCTCTAAAAATAAATAAATAAAATCTTTTTTAAAGAATATTTATAGTTGCCTTGCTCATCACTTTGGCTTATAATTGTCAAGTAATAAGTAAACTAACTCCAGACAGACTCAAACTATGTAAAATTTCCTCAATTTCATTGAGCAGTTTCTCTGCATTCCATGAGAGAAACAATGAGCTGAGGGAACTTGAATCTTTTATCTACAATAAACATACCTGACTTTTGCTCCATGGAAGACATTATTCTTGAAAAATAATGTGGAACCAAGGCATTCAGTGGCTTGCTGGAGAGATGTGCAGAAACACAAAAAAATCATAGCAAATCTTCTCCCAACATCCTGCTCAGCCCTTCTCTGCAGCAGAGTTTCCCATAAATGATCATCCATTCACTTGCTTGCCCTGTAAGTTTCTGGGCTGTGAACTCACTTTACTTTCTAGAATTTCCCACATGCGTGCACATGCTCTCATACACCCTTTGACACAGATAGTTTCTTTTTTCTATATTCTGTTCTCTGTCCTGAGTGACCTAGTAGCCTAACTGTTGGCAGACTCCACTACAATCATTACAATTGCTGTCACAACTTAAAATCTTTTTCGTTAGATGTCAGTTTCACCAAGAGCCTTTGAATTTAAAAACAAGTTGTCAAACAATGTAAGCAAACTTCAAATGACCTTGCTTACTCAATTGTTGATACTTTTGGTGCGTATTCAGGGGATCAGTTGGAGGGAGCTAAGTATCCCAGTCCAGGTGCTTAACAGTAAGGGATGGAGAGAGATCCTATTTCTCTGGGACACCAAATGAAGGGTATGATTCCCAGACTTTGAAAGAGCAATCTTTTTTTTCTTTCATTAAAACTTATCATTTGTAAAGGGATTTTTTTCTTTCCTTCCATTGTATTTTCTTTCATTTTTTGAAAGAGCAGTCTTGGTCTATGATGTTCATGGAGCAATGTGTCTCTTAGCTGAATACCTACCCACTGATATGTTTAGCAGCTTTTATGTTACAGTGTATGTTTATCTGCCCCTTTTACAATATTATGCATTTTTAATTTTTGACAATATTGAATGAAATGTAAAGGAAAAAAGACCCCAAGATTTGCAACTCTTTTTTTTCTTTTTTTTTTGCCCCCCACCCCCCTCTCGATTTGCAACTCTTAACACAACTCTTTGATTTTTATCTTGTGCTCTCCCAGCCTCCATTCACTGTCCATATAACTTGAACATGTAAATGTCCTGCTTTATTTTTATCCAACATTATGTCTCAAATATTTTTCATGATGTTAAATAGTCTAACTTCCTTTTTTAAGATTTTATTTATTTATTTTTAGAGAGAGAAGGGAGGGAGAAAGACAGAGAGAAACATCTATGTGCAGTTGCTGGGGGTCATGGCCTGCAACCCAGGCATGTACCCTGACTGGGAATCAAACCTGCAACACTTTGGTTCACAGCCCGTGCTCAATCCACTGAGCTACGCCAGCCAGGCCTAGGTAGTCTAACTTCTTACCAATTTTTAATGATGGGATTCCAGACTTGATATATTAAAATGCTCAATTTTATAATATATTCTAAGGCTTATGTAAATATGACTATCTCTCATTCTGTACCTAGGTATCGAAGTTGGTCCCCAGCCTCAAGGGGTTCTGAGAGCTGATATTTTGGATCAAATGAGAAAAATGATTAAATATGCTCTTGATTTTATACATAATTTCAATGAAGGTAAGTAGTAGGTGAGAACTGTTATCTTAATTGTTAGTGTGTGTGTACATGTGTGCGTGCATGCAAATATACCAGAAAAGGGAGGGGATGCGAGCACACATGGTAATTGAACAACTACACACTGAAACAGCATCTGTCACCTGGGTCAGATTCTCATGCTCAGGATATTAGGTGTTTTTTAAAATTTTCATTCACTTCAGCCACTCCTCAATGACCAGACTGATACATTCAAAAAAAAAGAAGAAGAAGAAAAAGAAAAGTAGTGACCAATTAAAGCTCTCCAAATAAAGTCCTCATTTTCCTATTAATTTCCATTTTTTAAAAAACAGATATACTAAGAAGTACAAATGTCCAATAGACATTTGAAAAGATGTCCAATATCATTAGTAACTAGAGAAAAGGAGATTAAAATGAGAAGCCATTTTACTCCATTAGAGTAGGAAAATATTAAAATCTGGTAATATTGTGTTGGTGAGGGTGTCGAAAGAGGGGATGGCAAGGACACGTTAGAGAAGAGTTCTGCGGCACCCACCTTCGGTGATGCACCAGTCCTGTGACCCTGCGGCTCCACATCGTGCAGCATCGCCTGTGACAACAAGCAGTAGAAACAACCTGAATGTCCATCCATGGACAATTAAACTAACACGGAAAGATCTTCAAAATATAGTGCATTGCTAATTAAAGAAAGCAAGGTGCAGACCAAAGTATGCAGTATACCAATTTCCTCAAAACAATATTAAATATAATGGTAATAACAAACTCTTTGCTAGAATGCATATACATACCTCGATATATACGTTAGTGTACAGGACAACACACCAAACTGATAGCAGTGATTATTGGAGAGGGGAGAGAAAAAACAGGTTAAATTTGTTTTCATTGTTTTCAAGAAGAATGATGTGTTCATGTTTTGTGTATAATTAAGACATAATTTCCTGGCTGGCGTAGCTCAGTGGATTGAGCGCGGGCTGCGAACCAAAGTGTCGCAGGTTCGATTCCCAGTCAGGGCACATGCCTGGGTTGCAGGCCACGGCCCCCAGCAACCGCACATTCATGTTTCTCTCTCTCTCTTTCTCCCTCCCTTCCCTCTCTAAAAATAAATAAATAAAAATCTTTAAAAAAAAGACATAATTTAATTAGTAGATACATGAAACTTTATGTATTATCTGCTCATTTATTTGGTAAATCTAAAACAGCAGCAAAAATGTCTATTAATTATTTAAGAATTAAGTTTACTTTAAATTATTTTATAATTATAATAAGAATAAAATTTAGAAAGACATCCTATGTAAATAATTGTTCCAACAGGCTGAATTCAAATTGTCCTTGAGGAATGTGTCATTATGGTGACAAAGCTGACAAGTAGTTCAGTGTCCATGGGGAGTGTGTAACTCCTTAACCTCAGAGAGTGAGTCTGGCCACAATCAGAGGAAATTTTTCTGGGAATCCTTTGACTCCCAAGTCATAAAGACTAAAAATCAGCTTCCCACCACCTTTGTGTGAGGACAGGTTCTATACTGTCTAATGAGTCTGGTCTTGAGAAGGTCGCAACTTATTCACAAGAAACCCTTCAAGTAGTTAAGTGTGGGACTGCCATGTGTTAAGAAATGATGCACCTGAGTATAAGGCTGCAAACCTGAGTGAAAAAAACATGGTTTTCAAATTATAGCCTTTAGATTTCTCCCACGGGGGCGGGGATCTAGAAGTTGTCCTAGTAGCTCCAGGTCAGTCAACCTCCCCCACCCCTACGTTGCCCCCTGCTTTAACCAGAGAGGTTTTTCTATCTATTTTGTTACTCTTCCACCTAACATTTCTTTCAAGCAAAGGATACTGTAATTCAAACATTTTAAACCACTGTTAATTTAGACTATCCAGCTTAGTAGATTTTTACCTACTATGGAAAGAGCACCATTATCCAAAGAATGTTGATCATGACCACCTAGAAACAAAGTCTCTGGAAATGTGTAGAAGAGCTCCATCCTTGACTCTGTGCTACTCCAAGTTAGTGTTAGTGTCTTGTGTGAGGACAGAAGTGACATGCTTTTATATAAGGGATATGTGGCAGGAAAATATCTGGTTCAGAAGGTGGATCCAAAAAGTCCTGACAATCTTTAATGATCATCTAAACCAAATGTTTTAGGTTAAATAAATCGGGAACAAAGTTTTGACTTAATGTTTTAAGATAATCCCAGAATGAGGGAGGTTATGGTTTGTTTCCTGCCTTGGATAAACAACACCTGGAGAACTCTGAATAAATTCTGAATCTGTATTTCAAGAAGAACATCTGTAAAGTAGAGGTTACCCAAGGAGAGAACTGAGAATGTTGAAGAATTTGAAATTTTATATTGGAAAGCAATTAGACATGTTTTCTGTGACTCAAGAGCAGAATAGAAGTGGCGGGATAAAGTTAACTTGTGACATAAATTTCCAATGAACAAAGTTGACCAGTAATGGAATGGACCACACTTCATGAGGCTGCTTGAGCACGAGAGAGATGGCCACATGGCCAAAAAGTTGTGGAGAATACTCAAGCATCGATGACCTGAGGCATTCAAGGCTCCTTCCAACTCGGAGATTCTAAGTTCCAAAAACATGCTCCTTTGTGCCCTATGACTTTTTCCTTTCCTCCCAATGGACCTTCTAGTTTAAAAAAGATGACATCTGTTAAATTTCATCTTCACCTTGGAAGGTTTGGTAGATTGTAAAAATGGCCACAAATTCTTTCCTTCCCCGCACCCATGTCCCTGCAATGTGATATTTAAATCCTTCTACCAAGAGATGGAGTCTATTTCTCTACTCCCTTGAACGTGGCTTGGTCACATGACTTGCTTTGTGTCACATAAGAGGCCTGTAAAGTACTTATACCTTGAGGATTGTTCTCTTACTGACCTTGGGTACCCTCTACTGCCATTATGTTAATCAGCCTACCCTATCCTTCTGATTAATAGAAAACTATGAGGTGGAGGACTTCAACAGCCTGGCCAGTGTTTCTTCTGCAGCTCCAGTTGATAGCCTGTCAAGTGCCAGACATGACAGTAAGGTCATCTTAAATCATCTAGCCTCCAGCAGACCTGCCAGCTCACCACAAATGCATGAGCAAGCCAATTAGAAATCAGCCAAGACAGCTTAAACCACAGGAAGTGCCCAACTAACCCAGAGAATCATGAGATAAAGGGTCATGGCTCTGTGCCACTGAATTCTAGGGTAGTGTGTTTTTCAGCCAAAGCTAGCTCATACAGAAATGACTGCAGAATATCCACATTCTGACCCAGCTGTACATACTGCTCCAAGGGCAAAGAAGATTTTCCTTTGAGTTGCAGTCATAGCACACTACAGGCCCTACCTTTAATGAAAGTTCATTTTGTTTGCTCAGAGATTGCCTGGTATGCATGTAAACTACTCCTTTGTCAAGTTTCTGGGCACTGGGTCTTTTAATGTTGCTGCATTTTTGAAAGTTGGACTCCACTGTTGGCCGTCTACCTGCATCCCAAGATCTGTCCAAGGGTTTAATGTACTTAGTGAGGAGAAGGAGTGCAATGGTGAAGTCCCCTAACCTGCTGGAAGGCCTCTGGAGGATATGCAATCACAGCATGTCAGAGCTGGAAGGGAGCTCCAAGGTCAGCTGATTCAAAACCTTCGTTGACACATAAAGAAAGTGAGCCTCCAGAAGTGAAGCCTCTTGCTTGAGATCACGCAGCTGGGAGATTGCAGCCTGGGTGTCCTGACTCCCGGTCCCAGGCTCTTTTTCTCTCACGCTGGCCTTTTAAAGTTCCGTTTTCTTCTGCTGACTGTCAGTGTGCTTGTGAGCAGTGTGTTGATAGGAATACTTCTAGAACATCTTTTGGCTTAGCATTGTTTATGAACATCCTTAACAGAAATAGTGTATTTTCCCTGTGACTGTCTTCTTTTTTCTTTTTTTCAATTATAGTTGACATGCAATGCGCAACTGTATGTCTTCACTTTTCAGTTGTTGTTCTCCCCTTAAAGCATCAATTTCCTTTTTTCAGTTGCTATTTATACTTACTTTTTTTGACCGTAGGAAAAGAATTTCCTCCTTGTGCTATTGAAGTCTATAAAATAATGGAGAAAGTTGATTATCCCAGGAATGAAAATGGAGAAATTGCTGCTATCATCCACCCTAATCTGCAGGTAATATATGCTGTTTCTTTAAAATATTCAAAGTAATAAGGCCCCACCTTTGAGTAGAACTTTACAGTTTATAAAGCACTTTACATACATTGGCTCATTTGTTGTATTCTCAGACACACTGCAGTGTAGGTAAGGTGTACAGACCTTGACTCAATACATGAAATTTATTTAGTGAGTCCTGTACTGGCCCTAGAAATCCATCACTGAACATGGTCTGTATTCCTGTGGGAGTCATAGTCTAGACACACCACAGTCTAAAGTGTAGTTTAAAAATGATAATGAGGCAGGGAGGAGTGGTCAGACAAGGGCTCTCAGAGAAGGTAAAATTCCTGCCCAAGAGCAAAGGGTAGGAATTATAATATTTATTATAACGTTAGAAAACAGCCCTGGCCAGTGTGGCTCAGTTGGTTGGGTGTCATTCCACAGAGCGAGGGGCCACCGGTTTGATTCCCCATCAGGACACACGCCTGGATTGCTGGGCCTGGTCCTCAGTCAGGTGGCAACCGATTAATGTTTCTCTCTCACACTGATGTTTCTCTCCCCCTCTTTCTTCCTCCTTTCCCCTCTCTCTAAAAATAAGTAAATAAACCTTTTTTAAAAAAGTATTACTTAACATGAGCAAACAGAAGCTCAGCTGTTAGATCTTTCCCATGGCCACATAGCCACCGATGGCAGACCCAGAGCTACTGTTCTCTGCAGTTCACATTGCTGTCACCTCCCTGTGATCACCACCTAGTGAGTGAGAGCAAAACAATCAAAACCTCTTTCTTTGGAATGTTTTCTGCCACCATTTCCTGACTTTCCTCGGGCTCCCAATATCTGCCGCTTGTCTGGTTTGATAATTAATGGCATAGTGAAAGAGGGAAAAAGGCCCTTAGGAGAGTGGAGGAGGTTGGAGTCTAGAAAAGGCAAAGGTAAAAGCAAGAGGCGTATATTCCAAAAAGCTGAACCATCCATTCCCACTGTGAGCACCCTACACACCCTCAGACCCCAGAGATGGACCCGGTGGACTACCCTCACCTGGGGCTTTCAGCCCTGGCTGCACATCACCTAGAGAGCTTTGAAAAAGTAACAGCGGCAAGATGGCACTGTGACATGGTCTGACCTTTTGGCCTGAGTAATCAGGGAGGAAAACCACTGATCCAGCTCAAACTGCTCTTTAATGACCCTAATAATAGTCATCCAGACTTCAAACTTAACAAAGCAGCCCGCCCAAAAATACAGACTAATGAAGCAAATCCAACTTTGGGCCTTAGTAGATCCAGGTGGCAACCTGAAGGAGAAGCTTTAGGCAATGTTTGAAAAGAAAGAAAGATAAAGATTGGGGTGTGGGGAGACAGGAAGGAAGCACTACAGACAACAAAAGAGCAAGAAAAACAGAGCCCAAGGCGATGATGTCATAACTGGCTGCAAGGCCTGATCTTTCAAGTTTTATATTCATCAACAGTCCTTGAGGAGCACAAAAATCACCCTGGAGAGGCAAAGGAGTGAGATTAATATCAGCAACAAACAAGGTTAGTGGTAGGTCATGAAAGTCAGAAAAGACAGTTTTGATTTGATAAGACAATAAGGAATGGCTCAGTGTCCTACAGGAGGGATTAATTGGTTAATTATTTCAATAAATAAAAGAAATATTTCAGGCCCAGCCTGTTCTGGTCCCTTATGGAGCATCCATACTAATACAGGGAGAACAGACCATGAATGAGTAAGCAATACATAAACTAGATCATTTCTGATTGTAATCAATGCTATAAAAATGAAACAGAATAATAGAGTGAAGGTTAGCCAAGGGGTCGTATTCAATGGAGTCATCAAAAAAGCCTCCTGAGAGACGGAGGCATTGAGGCCAGAACCTGGAAGGTGAGAAGTCAGCCATGGGGAAACAGGTGCAGAGGCCCGGAGGCTGGAAGGAACTTGAAGTGTCTGAGGAACAGCAAGAAGACTCTCTTCCATGGAGAAAATTGAATGAATAGAGAACAGGAGACCCTGGAGCCAGACACATAGGCAGGAACCTGGTTATGAATTCAGATTTTGTTCTAAGAATGATGGTTCTTAGTCAGGGATGTTCACTGGAATTTTCTAGGGAATGTTCTCAAACTCAGTCCACAGGAGAATCACCTGAGGAGCTTTTAAAAAGCCTGATTCCCAGGTCCCCAGAGATTCTGGTTTAATTCATCCAGATGGAGACAGGAAGTCAACCAGGTTTGGAATCTCTGCAGGGGTGGGGGGTGGCAGCTAGCCACAGGTGTGTTAAAGAAGACACTTGAATCATTTGGGGGCACATCTCCCACCTAAACTGCTGGTCCAGAGCAGTAGTTCTCAGCCATACTGTCCTATAGAATCACCTGGGGTTTTAAAAGTAAAGAAACACAGGGAACTATATATAATAAGACTGTCGGCTGATTTCTCAAAAGAGACCTTGCAGGCAAGAAGGGGCTGGAAAGAAGTATTCCAAGTCATGAAAGGCAAGGCCCTACATCCAAGATAACTCTGTCCGGCAAAGCTTTCATTCAGTATAGAAGGGCAGATAAAGTGCTTCCCAGATAAGGTCAAGTTAAAGGGGTTCATTGTTACTAAGCCCTTATTATGTGAAGTGTTAAAAGAATTTGTCTAAGAATAGGAAGATAAAAAAATATGAACAGTAAAATGACAGCAAACTCACAGCTCTTAACAACCACACCTAAAACAAAAACAAAAGCGAACTAAGCAAACAGCTAGAACAAGAACAGAAACACAGAAATGGAGATCACATGGAGGGTTAGCAACAGGGGAGTGGGAGGGAGAGAGGGGGAAAAGGTACAGAGAATAAGTAGCATAGATGGTAGGTAGAAAATAGACAGGGGGAGGGTAAGAATAGTATGGGAAATGTAGAAGCTAAGGAACTTATAAGTATGACACATGGACATGGGGGGGAATGTGGTTGGGAGGGGGTATGCAGGGTGGAAGGGAATGAAGGGGGAAAATGGGACAACTGTAATAGCATAATCAATAAAATATATAAAAAAAAGAAAAACGGAACTGAGGGAATGAGTATTATGAGGGAACTGAGGGAAGTTTGTGATGGAATTATGTGTCTTGATTACACAGTTATGTGGTTATATGACTTTAAGCTGTGTACTTGTCAAAACTCAAAGAACTATACACAAAAATGAATGAACTTTTCTGTATGTCAGTTTAAAAAATGATGCCCGAGCCCCATTCTTGAAAGTCAACTCCTCTATATTTAACATCGCAGGTGATGATACCACACAGCAGGCTTGAACCAATCACTGTCAGGCAGCATGTCTCAAACTTCAATGTTGTACATGTGACTCTGAGAATTTGTTAGCCTTGAAGATCTTGATTCAGTGGGTCTGAGTGGGGAATGAAATTCTGCTTTGATAACAGACTTTCACTGCTGCTGCTGCTGGAAAATGTTAGGAATGCAGACTCTCAGACCCCTATCCCAGGCCTGCAGGATCAGATTCTGAGTTTTAACAAAATTCCTACGTGATTCTCAATCACATCAAAGTTTGAGAAGATCGGCTCTCGGCTTCCTGCGGTGTGAGGGCTCAAAGTTCCAAACTGCTGGCGTAGGAGCTTTGGGTAACTCATTGGTGGTCATAATGTAGGGCCATCCACGAAAAACCTCCGCCTTGCCTCAGACCCCTCCCAGTCCGCCCGACCGTCTCTCAGCAGTGCCCATAAGGAGATACCTCCCCGTATGCAGGCGCGATGTTTCTCATATTTATGTTCCCAACAGTACAATGCCTCGTACAAAGAAGGCTCTTAGCAAATAGTTCCTACATTTTGCTGAGCAGAATTTAATTTCAGCCAGCAAGAGATAGAAGATGGGCCCTGGCTGGCGTAGCTCAGTGGATTGAACGAGGGCTGTGAACCAAAGTGTCGCAGGTTTGATTCCCAGCCAGGGTACATGCCTGGGTTGCAGGCCATGACCCCCAGCAACCGCACATTGATGTTTCTCTCTCTCTCTCCCTCCCTTCCCTCTCTAAAAATAAATAAATAAAATCTTAAAAAAAGAGAGATAGAAGATGCACGCGGGAAGGCATGCATTGCGTTTCACCTTTAATATTACAAATCTTTTTGGCAACACTCAAGGCATACTCAGTATTGAAGCAAATTCTAATTTTATATGTCAGTTATAAATATTAAAAGGGAAACTCTTAAAGCTACTGCCAAATTCCTATTCAATCTAAGTTTAGTCAGTTCACTCATAGGCCTCTCAACGTATCTCTCAAGTATCTCTTTTAAAAAGATCCAGTGTTACAATGTTTTAGTTGTCTTCAGCCTCGCATTAACTTTTAAAGTAGGAGAAAAACTGAATGTAATTTATGTATTTTAATTGTTTCCTGAGAGGACCAAGACTGGAAACCATTGCGCCCTGGGGATCCTGTGTTTTTAACTCTTGATGGAAAGACTATTCCATTGGGTGGAGACTCTACTGTGTACCCGGTGTTTGTAAATGAGGCCGCGTATTATGAAAAGAAAGAAGCTTTTGCAAAGACGACTAAACTAACACTCAATGCAAAAAGTATTTGCTCTGCTTTACATTAGAAATCACTTCTAGTTCACTTGTCATACAGTATCCTGAGAAACTCTACTAGTCTGTAAGCCCTCAAAGGGCAGGATTGTGCTTCATTTAATGTGCCTTATGCAAATCCATAGCACCTAGCTTAGTGCCTTGCACACAGTGGGCATTTAGGCAAATTTCCTGAATGAATGAATAAATAAATTAATATCTTTTAGAGGTACCATATTGTGTACATAGCTTTTTCAAAGAAGTGCACTTCTTATCTCTGTATAGCTTTTTATACATCATATTTTGATAGTTTAACATTCTTAATAAATGGTTTTTAAATTCAAATTTTTACATTGAAATGGTTACTGTATATAAAAAGTTATTAACTTGAGCATAGAATTAAGTGCATGTTTTCAAATAATGGATAATGCAGCTAGGAACCAATGGTGCAGACTTACTATTTTTTATTTTTTTATATTTAAACGCATGCTAATTTCTTAAGTATCCAGTCTATGAACCTTAGCAAGAGTTGTGATACCCATAAAAGATTTTTAAATGCTGTTTTGAAGATGAAATGTGAACGAGAAATGTTGGCTAATTGTAAAGGTGACATGAATAAATCAAAAGCCTCTGAATGGTCCTTTGTCTGCAGACAGACAATAGCCCACACAAAGCATCGCTGCTGTGGCGTGGCCACTCACTCTGCACTGACCTCGGGGTGCTGAGAGCCTCTTTCAGATGCCTCACACACCCCTGGAGAAGCTAGTGTTCCTTCCCACTTTGGGAAAGTTGGAAGAGGTATATTCTTCACAGCTGTCACTCATCCTTCTGAAAGAATGCACTTGCCCTCATCTGCACTCATCATATGAGGAAGTCTTGGGTTTCCACGGCGTAAGGCGGAAATAGCAGAGAGCTGTCGCTGCTAAGGAAATGTGCCCAGACCCATGCCTCTGGTTCGCAAATGCATTCTTTGAGAAATTGTCCACATCCTAAATGCCCACATCCCTCACCTCCCATGATCCTTCTCTTCAAAGGTCCTCCAGCTGAAAGGCTTCCTCCCTCCCTCTCCAGCCCCCACAGGAGCCTCCCCTCTCTTGCCTTAGTCACAGCAGCCAAGTAAGAGCATTTTTATACCATGAGTTGAACCCCAAGGAACCCATGTTTATGGTTTCAAATGTACCAAAGTCATACTAACATTATGTGGAACATATATATGTAAACCTTTTCATTCTTCCAGAGCAAATTCCATTAAGCCAATTCCATTCCATATTTAATGTTCTATACAGCACAAACTGTTTCTAATTTTTCAGCATTTATTTTTGTATTCTAAAAAAATCACGTTCATGGAAGTAAACTCTCTTTCTTTTGAATTCTTTAGTAAAGCTTTAATTTATCAATCAGCATTTGTACATGAGTTTTACCAAGCTTCCTTCTGCCACCATGAATGTTCCTTTGTGATTTATTCCTAAGTTTAATTTTTATGGGTTGATTTTTTCCAGTGTAAATTTCAGCAAGATTATCTTCCTCTTCCATCAAATTTTAGTCATTTATAAAATTTACAAGATTAATGTAAGCCACTGTAGTTTCAGTTTTTGTATTATTTCTATAAAGTTTAATTTTCTCTGACTCAATGCTTATAGTCTTCAGAGTTTCTACTTAGATGTGATTTTTTTCAAAATAACTATAATCTATTGCTTTAAAGCTTTAGTCACTTTTATTCTATTTTTATTCTATTTTGGTTCTTTCTAAGCCTACAGACTCCCTTTTCTCATTTATAAAATGCGGATGATCATAATATCAATTCTCCTCTCATGGGATCATTGTGAGAAATAAGTGGCCTAATGCATGTAAGTGCCAGCACAGAATAATAAATGATTCAAGTTTAAAGTTCTAACACAAAAGGCGCTTTATGATCTGCCCCTCCTTCCCCCACCATCTCTCTGATCCCTCTCCCTTTGGGCCCTCTCTGTTCCAGTCTGCTTTGTGTCCTTTTTTCTATCTACAGCAAGACAAGTCCTATATGTTCTGGCCTCTGCCCACCCCTCCAACCCAATTTCAGTGTCACCTACCCCTTTGCTCCCAGAGATTTGGCCACACCTCAGTTTCACCAAGCTAGCTCCCTCCTACCCTGGGGTCTTTGCCCACATTGTTCCCTCTTCTTGAAACACTATGCCACATGTCCTTTACCTGGATGACATCTACTCTTAAATGGGACTCAGGCTGGGCTAGACCATTCTGTTATACAACCTCACCAACACTGTGAGACTAGCACTTACTGGGAAACTTCACAGAACTGGGAACTTTGGCCCAGGAAAAAGCACTGTGACCTTTACCTGTCATTCTTCCTCTCTCCAAATCTCAGTTTCCCCACTGACTAAATAGGGATATAACACTCATCAAACATACAAAACTGCATTATTAAGGTAACAATATGGATGAAAGAGTTTTACATATGAGAATCATACAATATCAAAGGCTGAAACAACTGCAGGATAGCTTTGGAAATTTTTCACAACAGTGAGAGCCGTAAAACTGTTCATGTGCATTGATTTAGGCATCACACTTTTAGAATATATCCTGTCACAGGGTTTTCTACCTTTTTTCTTACCAGTCCATCTAGAATGTTCCCATAGATGGAACATTCCATTCCTAGGTTATAAGCTAAAGCTTATTAGATCTAGGATGTGAATTATGTACAATTCCCATTTCTTGCCACTAAAGAAGACACGTCCCATTGAGAGATGTTATCCTGGGAATCATTTGAATTAAGTAAATAATTCACAAAATGCAGCATATCAGTTATTAATAAATTATTTGGAAGTTCTGCAACCTATCAAGACACAGCAGTGTCTGGGCATTTGAGAACTGCTGTTACAGAACAGACCTGGGGGTGGTGAACAATTACCAAAAGGACCCCCCTTTTTCTCCGGGGGTCCCCCCACACTAGGTTCACTATGCCCACTGCCAGAGGAAAGACATCTCTCAATGACAGAGATTGGTGGAAAGGGAAGGAATTGAAAAGCTATACAGACTTAGAGTAGTGACTTAATGTCTTCATTAAAATACTAAAGTCCTTTAGAACACCCACAAATGCACACAGTCCTTCCTTCTCCCTCTGCCCTAGTCTGGGATACCATATCTCAGGAAAAGAAGTAGAAGTCCGTGATTCAGGCTCCTGGCACCATCAGCTATGTCGCTGCCATGATCTCCAGTTAATCTAAAACCATGTGGCACCTTCTCATGGCCCACCAGCAAAAGTCCTTTCATCCCTTTCCTTCCAGGCAAAGTCTCTCCTGCTTCCTAAGCCATGTGGCAAAAGGGAGCACCCCAAAGCTGTGTGATTCTCCCTTCTACTGCCATAGCCCTGTAGTCCTTTCTTGTATGGCTGTCGTACCTGGGTTGAAATCCCCACACCAATCTTCCTTTGCAGCCCCATTTCTGACTCCTCCTACAACCAGTTACACCTGCCAGCACTCCCATATCCTTCCAGCTTTACTGGGCTGCCATAGTGAGTCTGGGCAGGTGTGGCCCCATGGCATAGAGCCAATCATCTCCAAGCTCTCACACAAGCTCTGTAACCAGGGGGAGTTGCCTCCCAGTTACATCTTGGATGGAAGTCACTTCCATCCCCCTGGCTCAAAGCATGGTCACAGCTATTTAACATATCTGTGAAACCAGTTAAAGGTTATAGATATGTTAAATGACCATGCCAGAGGTTAGCTGCAAAGCTGTTGGTATACAACACAGCTCTGAATGGCCCTGCTCCATGTGTCCCATTCTCCCAGCTCATACTGGTGAGGGTGAGGACATAATATATCTATATTTCTAATATTTCCTGGACTCCTTGAGTTCTGGACCCCATTACAAATCCCTATTTGGGGCCCCCTGGGCGTACCCCTGGGTGGCTACACCCTGTTACACTGTCACCCCTGTGAAGTAACTCAAAAGAATGAGTTACTTCACGTATGGATGCACGTATGGATGAATCAGGTAATAATGATGGTAATAGCATCAGCTCTCGTGTATCCATTCCCTCGCTGCCTCCTCACAAAGGCCCTGTGAGGTAGGAAGAAGGGATTTATGCTGTCTGGTCTCCAGGTAGAGCCATGGTTTTATAGCCATCCACAAGAGCCAGTGGGAAGCCAGCAGGGCACGATTAACAGAGCACAGCTTGGGGGGTCATATGTCCTGACACACTAACATTTCTTGGCTGTGATTCCTTGGGCATGCCATTCAACTCCCTGAGTCTCAGTTTACTCAGACTCCTTCCAGAGGTGTTGAGTGGTTTCAGTGGGGCGCTAGAGGTGAATGCACTCTGAGAGGTGAACACTGTACAAAGACGACACATTTTATTGTGCTGGCTCTGTTCCTGAGCTGGAACCTATAGTAATGCTTCAGGTCCAAAAAATGGCCTTTCCTTTACCCATTCATCCTAGAGTAACACTCTAGGATTTCTAGCAGGTCTCTATTTTGACACACTTAAAACAAGACTGAGCCCCGGCCGGTGTGGCTCAGTTGGTTGGATCATCATCCTGTAACCAAAAGGTTGCAGGTTTAATCCCCGGTCTCAACATACATGATCCCTGGTCCAGGTGATTACAAGAGGCAACCAATTGATGTTTCTCTCTCACATCAATGTTTCTCTCCCTTCCTCTATCCCTTCCCCTCTCTCTGAAAGCAATGGAAAAAAATGTCCTTAACTGAGGACAAAAAAATAATGACATCGAAAAAAACAAAAAAAAAAAACCACAATTATAGTTAGGCAAAATAAATATTTATTAGAAATCATAAAAGCATTTCTTCAATGACACTAAAATGTTCTTACTCTATTTACAACCTCTTTCTTGAACATAGAGTTTCTCACACACACAACACTAAGAACAAGTATGTAAATTAGAGTTTACAAGGACAAGGCACATTCAGTGAGAACAAGATGGCAATCCTGCATTTGGAGCCAAGATCACAGTAAAAACATGTAAATGAGTGCAGCAATCAAGTACGGCTTACAGGCCGGGATGATGGCCCATCTGCCTGGGCCCACCCAGAGCAACAGGACCCAGTTCACCAGGCCTTGAGGAAGGAAAGGAACGCCAATAATACTGGGCTGTCTCAGACAGGAGCCTTCTGAGAGCTTAATGACTTCACAGTACAACCTCTCACACCTTCTCTCACATCTCAGGGGGGAAGGGAAGCACCATTTTTATTTCAAACAGATATATCCATCACATAACGTCTAGAAGAATGGATTCTTCCTGTGTCAGAGTTTAACTAAAGGAGAAGTTTGAGCCAAAACCATTATCTGAACCCAGGAGATTCCATCCCTGGAAAATGCCTTCCCCTTAAATTGCTGAAATGTAAATCATGAAGTTTTAAGATATCTTAACGTGCCCATGGATTTAGTGTGGACTGATGTGTGTGTACACGTGTATGTGTGTGGTTTTGTATGCACATCTGTGTGCATGCTTGAGTTTTAAACCTGTCATGAGATTATAGGGATGGCATAGACCATCAGTATGAATCATCTGAGCAAAAAGCCACAGACCCCTGACATGCGCCAACCACAAAGGCAGGCTCAAATTTCCCGAATACCTGCTTTTAAAAGAAAATGGTGTGGAGGGATATCAGTGGTCCAGGAATCAGAGCGCCCCAGCTTCAACAGCTCTGATGCGACTTCCCGCATGACTGTGAACAAGTCCACCTTCCTTTCTGAGCTTCAGTCTCTAGGTGTAAAATAAGGGAACCCATCCTCTTAAACTGATGCTCTTTAGCTTACTGCTTGCCTTTGCCTTGGAGACCTATGTAGACTCAGACCATCTAGGCTGAAAGCCTTTTTGGGATGAGTAACCAGTGCAGAAAATGGTCCTGCTGACCCATTCCATCCAGATCCACAGAGCGCAGCTCTCCATACATGAGAAAAGACAAAGATCCCAATACCGATTTCTATTTGCCTGACCTCCCAGCTTTTGTTCAAGCAAGAAATGGAAATGGCTATATCCACTCATGCCTGAATCAAAGCAGTGCTGGGGTTCCCAGCACCAGCGTGCAGAGCATGACGCCATGGATCCACAAGGCTGCCCTTCAAACTAAGACATCTTTTCTAGACTATGCAAGTAGGTAACTCCAGATGCAGGATGCCGATCTGCAGGTGAAAAGCATTCTAACATTCATCTGATCGTGATCTTTGACAACATCCCTAATAACTTCTCAACCAGTTTCTGCTTAAACATCTCCAATATCTACAGCAGGTGCTGGACTGAATGGAACTGAACCAAAATCTTTCTTCTGAAATGTCCAACCTTTGGCACTAGTTCTGCCCATCCAGAACAGATCTGCTCCTTCTGCCTCCAAGACAATCCCCCCAGCTCTTCCCTTTTCCAGAGGACATGCCTGGTCCCTGCTACCTTCACTCACACCTGAGCTTGGTCTGACCACTGCTGCTTAGAGCACTGGTTGGCTCCTGAGTCAGCTGGAAGTGCAAGGGCTGCTGCAGACTGTGCATTCCTTGGGCTGCATCCCATCACTCCCTGACCCAGCTCATCAGGGGCACAAAGGCCAAGTTTCTACTCACCCAGGTAAGCCAGCACACAGAACAGCCCATAGCGGAGAAATGGGCCCAGAGCGGCTGTGGGTTTGCACTGTTCAGTTTGCCTCAAGCCAAGCTAACTAGCCAATTGCCAAGTTGTCTAAAGACCAAATTCATGTTTGTGCTATTTTTAATTACAATGCATGATTAATATCTCTATAATATCGCCTCAAAAATTCTCACACAAATCCTTTTACCAGATAACCAAAGCAGAGTGGTTCTGCTAGTTGTGCAACTCGAGTAATCGGGAATGTTTCTTCCGTCTTTACTTCACTTCTGCCCCAAACTAACTCTGTGTAATTTCAGGGGGAGAAACTCAGAGGATGAGGATCTAAAAATAAGCAACTTGTTTTGGCAAATGCTCCTTCCTCACACACTTTTTCCTCAGCTTCCTAATTCACAGTGAACAAAAATATTTAAATATTTTAAATATTAAAAACACATTATGCTGGAACCAGCATTTCAGGCGCTGTGTTCTACTGCTCCAGTGAGCAATACTGACGTCGAAGAGCAGCCTCTGAGGCTGACGGCCACAGAAATAGGGCAGCTGCCATCGCTGCTGGAGAGGAGGCGGGGACCCAGCGCACGCACTATCACAGCCAGTACCAGGAAGGGAGCCAAGCTCTTTCACCCAGATCACAGGCACCCAGACGGGCCCTGTGGGGCACAGCTCCTGCTGACTTTTGTGTGTGTAAAGAAAAGCTTTTTGTTTTTGCTCTGGCCACCCTGAGGCCTAGGACACAACACTTATACCCAGTCCCAAATCCTAAAATCTACTTCTCAACTTATAAAATCATGTACTTCATTTGAAGTAATTTTCATTTAAAATTGAAATGTCCTTACTCTATTGAAAATAAAAACCTGATGTTAATTACACTACTAAAAATGTCTCTCACTTTGCAACAGTTTGAGCCTTGGGATGCCAAGGAGCACTCATACCACGGGTAGTTTCCTGTACCCTGAAGCTCCCAAAAGGACATTTCCATGACTCACTCCCCTCCGCCCCCAGGATATCGGATTTAGCTCAGTCCCCTGTATGTGCTGGGATGGGATCAAGAGCCCCTGAAATTCAGGACGCCCAGGGGAGACATGGAATGTGGGAGCTGAAGCTGGAGACTACTAAGGGGATGTAGCCAGGAAGAAAGCTCTGCTTCTCAGGTCCCCGCCCGTCTCCACAGCCCCTCGCCCAGCCAAGCTGACCTGCTCACCAGTTGGTGAATCCAAAGACTTCACCTAGGACTCCAGGGACCTCAGGCTCAGGACTGCTGACCATGTGTTTACACAAACTCTTCACCAAGTAACAACATCCAGAGTGTTTCTCACTCAGAAAAACTGACATCTGCCTCTCAGTTCAGCCACCCACTCAGCCGGAGGGTGCTCTCTGCTCTTGGGCAGGCAGAGCAGGCTCCAGCCTCTGCAAAGCTCTCTCCACACAGCCCAGGACCCAGCCTTTAGCACCCAAAGGCCCATGCTAACACCAGCTCTGCATTCTGCTTCTACACCGAAGTTTCCGGAAAGTCTTCTAATTCATCAAATGCATTGAGGGTGGTTTTGCTGTTGCTCCTAGAAGAATTTTGGATTTTGTTGAAATCTGCTTAAAAAAAACAACAACACTATTTTAGAAAGACAGCCATCTGCAAGGAGTACTTCCATGTCTTGATGCACCACCCAGTTTCTACCACCCGGTTTTGAGAAGTTATTCCAACCAGGGTTATAAAACGTCAGAGTTGGAAGGGACCTGAGAACCAATTTGACTCAACCTCCCATCTGGTGGACGGGGAAATGAGGACCTCAGACTCAGTTTGCCCGGGGCCACATGGTCAGACAGGAACAGCTGTCACCCTTCCTGACAATAACGATACCTGTCCGTCTCACCGGCCCCGGATCTTCGTTGAGGAAGGAGACATGTGTTTTCCATTCAGTCCACTTCACCTCATTGATCCTGTGAGTACAACAATCATTCTCAACATTTCGCAACTGCACCTCATTAAAAACAGACATCACGAGGTGTGGGGTGTCCCAGACAGCTCCTCTTCTATCTGTCCCAGAGGTCAGAGTTTGAAATCTGCCTACATCCCCATTTTTCCAGGCCTCCAGGGCTGTCTCTTCCCAGTGTGCAGGACCCAAAACTCAGAGACATATAACAGGGACGTCTTCAGGCAGCAACAGTGTGCCTGACTGGAGAGAGGCAGTCCCTGGGGAAAGAGGGAGGGCAGGAGGGAGGAAGAGCCCCCACTGAGAAGATACAAGGGTGTGAGGACTAAACTCATAGATGGTTAACGAGGATTCAGGCTGCACTAAAAGATGGTTAGGATGCAAACACCCAAAGAGTGGGCAGTGTCTGCGGTGTTGGGTTGCAACTGGAGACGATGGTTGGGCTAACGTTCACATCAGAGACCAGCTCTAGAGTGAGCTTGTCAGAATTAGAGACACTGTTGGGGTAACAAATACGGTCAGAAATGTCAGCTCGAGGGAGGAAGGTAGTCTGGAGGGTCAGGTAGTGAGATGGGGGCAGGAAGAGATGGTCAGGCCATGTGCAGGTACTGTTTTAAAATCGAAAAGCTTGCGCCCTGGCCAGTGCGGCTCAGCTGGTTGGAGCATCGTCCCACAAACTGAAAGGTTCTATCCTCACCAGGGCCCATGCCTGGGTTGCAGATGCAGTCTCTGGTCAGGGCACGTATGAGGCAACTGATTGATGTTTTTCTCTCACATCAATGTTTCTCTCCCTCTCTTTCTAAAATCAATAAGCATGTCTTCGGGTAAGGATTAAAATTTTTTTTAAATCTTGATATCTCTCAAAAGTAGCTGTCTCACTTTCCATTGCCAGGGACAAAATGTGTCTCAGGTCCCTGGTGTCACTGAGCCCACATGGGGTAGACAGAACGACAAAGGGTGCCAGACTGGGACGTGTTTCTAAACCAGACATGGGAAAGGGACAGGCTGTGGAGGCCCTTTAGAACCAGCAGAGAGGGGACCTGCCGTGGGAGTCTCGCTTCCTCTCCCTTCCACAGCTCAGGAAGGCTTGTCTCAGGGCCAGCGGCCCCGGAAGAGCACATTCCCTTCTAAGGAGTCTGGAGCCAACCATGGCACTGCTTCCCCAACACTCCCTGACGGGGCTCTCTTGACCCAGCCAGAGACTACCACCAAAGGGCCCCCTGCCTGTGTTACCGCAGACACAGCCGGAAGTCCTCCTCTGCTACTTTACACAGCTCTCCCGTCCGGAATCTGCTCCTCAGCCATTCTGGCAACATTTTCTCAAACTCCAAGATCGTCCTGGCTCTCTGGGGACAGAAAACAACCTAAGCACATTGCTGAGTAGCCAGCCCAGGAGCACAGCCGCTTGTGAGTATGCATACCACTGCACACACATGCACACACAAAGTGAACACACACAAGGCACAAGTGTGCAGGGGTATGCACACATACACACGCGTGCACTGCACACACCACTGAACAGCCCACTCTGTCCTCCCTGGAAGCTTCATGTATAGATCCTGAGGGTTCAGTTAATCTACAGAATTCAAAAATGAAAAGCCAGAAGTTTGGGAAAGCTCAAATTACTTTAAACATGACATAAACAATGTTTCTGAAGGTCCAGGCACTTCCTAACTGAAAATGTTAGGATCCTGGGTCCCATAGTGAGGAGCGTTCAGACCTCACGTAGTCCCACATCCATCCCAGGCTTGGAATCCCCTCAGCAGTTTTCCTGGAGGTAGTTTTACCAGTCTCTCCTAAATATTATCAATAAGCCAATTAGGAAGGGCCTAATAACTAGAAACTTCCTTGTGTCAAATCAATACTTGTTTCCTTGCAGTTGCCCCATGTATCTCAGTTCTGCCTTCTGGGATCATAGAAGGAAGCCATTCCCTCTCACAAGTAGCTCTTCAGGTATCTGAAGGGGTGACACCTTCTTTGAGCCTAGTTTCAACACCATTTCTTACGAGGCGTGGTTTCCAGTCTTCTCCCAAGCTTGGTCATTACTGTGGTGGTATCCTCAGCTTGTAAGGCCCACAGTGTGTGGGGAGTATCAAGGCCAGGGTGACAGAGAGCAGAATTGTCATCTCCATTGTGCTATACCCTATACTCCTCTTAATGTAACCTCAGGTCACACTTCAGCATCCACATATCAGACACTGACTCTGAGCAGAGCACCCCCGTAAACCTGAGTTCCTCTCATGCATGCTGTTGACCCTACACTCAAGGAACCTAGATGAATGCTTCCTCAAACCCAGCCAAGCACAGGGAACATATGCAGATTCCCAGGCCCCCCAGATCCACCAGCACTGACGGGTGCCAATAGTGTGTGGGGAACTGAGTCCGGTGAAGGCTCCCATCCCAGCGTCTGCACCAGGCTCACCTGTAGGCGCCAGATGCGCTCGCTCTCCTTGGAGACATTCTCCACAGTTTCTCCCATGAGGGCGATGAGCATGTTGAGGAGGAGGACGAAGGTGAGGATGACATAGGTGATGAGCAGGAACAGAAAGAGGATGGGGTACTTGGAGTTCTGCTGGATGTTCAGGTCGCCCAGGCCTATGGTGAGTTTGAAGAGTTCCAGCACAGCGTCGCTGAAGCTGCCGTAGGAGGTGCAGTCCTTTTTGTCACCGGGACACTTCTCAATCAGTGAGGCGAGGGCTGGGAGGATATAACAGGGTGCTCTCCTCAGCCTCTCTGCTTGGTTAATTACCCAGCAAGCATGTGCATACTTGCACGTTCACACACACCCACACGCACACTGCAGGCCTGCCTCCTGCCCCCTTTTCTGGCCATTGAAATTCCATATTCAGCCCGAGTTCTTCCAGAAGCCTCGTCAGGCTGATTTTCTATAGAAAGCCCTTAATGCCTAACAAAGCCCATACTCTTCTGTCCTTCCTTTACCCCACCATCCGGCCCTTGATCACTCATGGCCTTGCAGAGTTGCTAATTACAATCTATGTGTGTCTCTGGCTCCCCAACCAGCATTTGGGCTCCCAACTTCTGGTGGCCTAGGTCATCTCCTGCAAGACTGTGATGTCCTGAGTGTCCTCCTAATGCTTTGTGGTGAGATCCCCTGGCCTAGGCCAAAAGCCCTTTCTTCTCTTCTTTCTAACACACTACAGCAGTGGCTCATTGCTGGATGGATGGATGGATGGATGGGCAGATGGATGGATGGGCAGATGGATGGATGGATGGATGGTCAAATTAATGACTGAGTAAATAGTTGGACAAATAAACAAATGAAGGACATGCAATATCCTTAATTTGTAAATATGCAAATCTTGACACAGAAAAGGTGTCAGGCAGATGGAAATGAATGCCTCACTTCAAAGGCCAATGATCACTGCGGGGGAAAATACAACCATCTCTCCCCATGCAGAGGTTAGAGATAAATCAGGCTTTAAGAGGGGGCTCCCTGGCCTGGTCCCCAGCAGACCAGAGGATCTCACAGGCCTAGCAGGAGAGAACTGCAGAAGTGACGTGATATGCAGGGCCAAAGGAGACTACCTCAATGCACTGCTTTACTCCTATTTTTCAAACATCGTCAATCAAATTTCTGTAAACTTCAGTTTCCCCATGTAAAATGGGGACAAAAACACCTGCTGAGCCTATCTCAGGTTGCTAGGGTCACAGATAGATGTGAAAGTGGGAGGTGTGTCCCACAGTCGGGATGGGTAGGAGTGACAGGCCTGGTTCGAATCCTGGAGTCTAAGCCTCAGTTACCTACGATCAGGGATGATGATTCCCCCTTGACTGAGAGGTCGAGAGAAGTAAAAAGATAGTGCTTGGAAAAGGCAAAGCTCAGCACGGGCTCTGCTGGTAGCTGATATAGTTATTGCTGAGGCTGCTACGTGCTTCATCCTCTTGACATCGGTATAAAGTGCTTTACCAAGGTGGGAGTTAGTATTATTTATAATACTACCTACCTACTCCGAACCCAAGTAAGAACACGATGTACACAAACAAGAACTTCAGAACATCATGCAAAATGACCTACAAAGGAAGAAACAAAATTCAAGGGTAAGGTCTAAGCACATAGTCACTGCACACCGATCTCACTGCTTCCTGGGCCCCACCCCCAGGCTCTAGCTCTAACCGTGGTCTCCTGCAGGCCATTCCCCATCCCCTCAGCCCCATCTGCCAATGCTCTGAAATGCAGCTCTGGACCCCACCTTCTCCAAGAGGCCTTTTGTCCTTGTTCTCTCCCTTCCTCCCTCCTCCCTCCTGGAACACAGTCTGTCTCTGCCCCCGCTGCTTCACCGTGCCCATGGACACCTTTCTTCACTGTCTCACATCTGGAACCCTCACACTTCCTGAGGGCAGTGGTGTGCCGGAGCCAGCTCCTACCAGCTCACTGGAGCCGACTGCTACATTTTCATGAATTTTGTGAGCTGCTTATTAAATGCAGCCATTAATAAAAATTAAATCATATACACTTACAAGTAAATAAATTATATTAAAAATAGAGACACTGAATCATCAAAACTCATCACTTCTTGGCTATTTACTACATTTTACAATTATCTATGATCTTAAAGTTATTTATATCTATCATAGCCCTATGGTGGAAATACTATTCATAGTGTTGCTGCGCATCTCATTCCAGCTCTGCAGTCAGTGACGTCGTGTTGGTAGCTGGAAATCAGTGAGGGTGGGAGTATTTATACCATAGTAATTGGCAAATGCTACAAATCAGAGACTGACTCGTTGTTGTGTTGATTGTCTCGATCTAGAGTGAAGACAGCAATGCAGAAAATGTTAAAGCGGATTAAACTTAAAAATGTGTCCTGTCAGTAATCGCTACACCATGAACAGCACACTAATATTAACAAAGTTGTCTTCTATTATTTGAAAACTATTATGCAATTCAGCAAATAAGTTGGTCACATCATAGACAACCAACTGAAGTGCCAATGCACCTTCATTGTTTCACCTTCATTTTACTCCTTAAAGAAAAATATCAACCAACATTTATGTTGGAATAACACTCATTTGTCAGTTGCAACCATAGGTTAGCAGAAGATATAGGAGTTCAACAAATTATCCAGCAAGACAACAAGCTATGTGGAATTTACAGTAAAGACTATTATATGTTTTATTGTTATTGAGAAAGGAAATTGTGTGTTATGTGCTTTATATAGTAAATGTTATAATAGACATTGATGTAGCTGTGTGTGCACATTTCCCAGAGAGCCAGTTGTTAAATACCAGCACACCACTGCCTAGTGGTGAGAACCCTCCTTCACAAAGTGAGTCCCTTCTCAACGCCCATCAAGCCCAGGCACTTGGTCTGGACACATAGAGCTGACCAAAGGCAGATGGAGACCGTGACATTCAGAAGAGCAGCGGCCTGTCCCTTGGGCAAACCCCTTTTGCTCTCCAGACCTCTGTTTCCCCATCTAAAAAATGAACATTCTCTGAGGGCCCTGCCAGCCCCCAAACGAACCTTCTGGATCATGACGCTGTACATGCCCATGGACTGGAACCCCCGCGTGTAGTAGAGCATGTTCGCCCAGCCCAGGGCCATGGCCAGCACGAGGCAGGCGAGGTACTCTTTGTAGGCAAACAAGTACAAGAAGACAGACAGTATCACAAGCACAGCTTGGACAAAACTGTTCAGGAGACACAGGAGACAAGGGCCTTACTTACTTCTCAGCATCAGGGCAGATAGTCACACCCCAGCCACCCTTTAAACCCTATACCACCACCCTGGTGGCCAGTGCTGAAGTGGATAAGGCTGCCCCAGACCTGTTAGACTGTGTCTAAAACCCAGACCATGTCACCAGATGCAGGTCGGGGCCAGCAGTGGGCTGGTTGCAGCTGACCTTTTTTTTTTTAATGTTTAGAGAGGAGAGACAAAGAGAGAGACATCGATGTGAGAGAGAAATATAGATCAGTTGCATCCCATATGCGCCCTGACCAGGAATTGAACCCCCAGACTTTTGGTGTACGGGACAATGCTCCAATCAACTAAGCCACACTGGCCAGGGCAACAGCCGACTTATTTAAAACTCAGATCCCCAGGGCCCTGGGAGATTCTGGTTCAGAACATCTGGAGAGCAGCCCAGGAGGCTGCACATTTTTAAAAACACCCACATGATTTCTGATTCTCACATAGATTTCAGAACCACTGGAGTAGAGGATGCAATGAATGATTGCATTTTTAACCCAAATGATAAAAGCAGACAATATTTATACATATAAGCCAATCATAACAAAAATCTCTCAAATCTACTTTTTTTTACCTTTTAAAAAAGTATAATATATGCCAAGTGAAATAAGTGTCACAAAAAGACAAACACCATATGATTTCACTTATATGATGCCCTTAGAGTGGTCAAATGCACAGAGTCAGAAAGTAGAATGGTGGTCACCAAGGGCTGGGGGAGGGGACTAGGGAGCTGTTGTTTAGTGGGTACAGTTTCAGTTTTGCCAGAAAAAGAAACCAAGAGCCTGGCTGCACAGCAACATGAATGTACTGAATGGTACTGAACTGCACACTTAAAAATGGTTAAGATAGTAATGTTAATGTTATGTGTATTTTTCCACAACTTAAAACTTTTTAAGTACAATGTATGCCAAATATACAAGCTCAAAATCTACTCTTACACAGTGTGTGTGTACACCACCAGTTATGTGGACATCTACATAAAGCCTGCTCTTGCTATAACATCAGGCTGTCTCCACCATTAGAAAACATGTAACTAGTTAAAGTTAGGACAAAGGCAACCTAGTTTCTCTCATGCAGTGACAAGCAAATATTTGGCTAATCAGTGCATTTGAGACTGAAGTGAAGAAGTATGTCTACACCTCTCTCTACAGTAACAAAACAGCTCAGAAGAAGAAAAGCAGGACAATGCATTGGTGCCTTTTGTCTGCAGCAAAGCTGATGGCTGTATACATGGGTTTTTCTCTGGAATCACCATACTGTCTCAAAGGTTCTCACGTGACTTGCATCATGGGGCTGCTGCATCTGGCCACAGGATAAAGAGCTCGGTTCATGCCTCTGAAAGGCAGGTGCATACTTAAGAAAACACCTAGGTAATTGAAAACATCGGGCCAAGATTCAAAGTCCTATAGACTCTGCCTCACAAACACTCAGAACAGGGACTTCAGAGGCGTCCACAAGCTACAACGTCAACATTCTTCAACCCCTGCTGCAGATTCAGCTAGCCTCTGCTCATTTACACAAAGGTCACGTAAGCCTGTGGTGTCAGCTGCACATGACCTCATTCAGGCAGGGCTGAGCTGGGCTCTGTGGCGGGAGCCAAGCCTGCACTAGCGTGAGGAGACGATGACGGAGAGGCCGGGACTGGCTTTGCCACTGAAGTTCCAAGTGACTTGTGAGTGACTCACTTCCCTGCTCTCGGCCTCAGTTTTCATACCTGCAGATGAGACTCAGGGATTTCTCAAGTACTTTCCAGCTCTGATCTGCCAGCGTCCAAGGTGGCAACTTCTAGACCCCATGCAACTTGGGTTGGAACTCTTTGTAGAAAAGTAAACAGTACTGCTAAGCTTCTTCATGCCTACTCTGTGCTGCCTGCCACCTGGGGCTCCGTGGCAGGGTGGAGTCAGCCATCACTGCAGCCCGATGGAGGGTCCTGCGCTAGGGTTTGCTGGACCTCTCTCTATGGCCATCTATGTGCCTCTCTTACCAGAAGTGAAAGAGGAGGTCGCTGGCCACGTGAGTATGGCAGAATGCCTGGGGCACTGGGGCATGGTGACACAGTAGGATGGCTGTCCCAAAGGGACACAGCAACCACCATATATAGGACTTTAGCCTTGCCTGTGAGATGGTGACAAAGGGAACAGACCTACTTACAAGACAAAGTGAAACCAAGCATCTGAGAGGATGGACTGCAGATCCGAGGGTCTCAGCAGAAAGATCGCAATGCCCTGAGGCCAGAAAGGAAAGAAAAGCTTCAGTCTCTTCTTGCCTTCAACAGAGGCTCTAAGGAAGGAGGTCTTTCCCCAGGACAGAGACTCAGTGTGTGAAGGCGCAGCCAGAGCCCCAGCGAGGGCCACAGAGGGGACTGTGCCTGGAGAGCAGAGGCCATCCCAGGGTGCGAGTGCATGCTCCCCTAGACCTCTGTGTGTCTGTCACCCTCCTCCTCACCCCAGAACCTATAAAACAGTGCAGCCATGCAGCTCCCTGCCAGCCCCTAATACAGGGGTGGGGGAAAATAGATTAATAATAATATTATTATTATAATTAATAAATAATAATACAAGAATAAACTCTGTGTTTCACATACTCACAAATGTAAACCCACTTTGCCCACCCCTGCATAGCCTAGCTTTCCACCTTGGGCGCCTTTGTGCTGCTCCCCACGCCCGCCCTGTAGTGACCTTGTCCCCCACGTCCTCATGCCCAGTCCCACCAGAGTGAGTGCGATGTCCCCGACAAAAGTCATCTCTTTTCCTGAGCACTGGTCTGAACCCAGCACAGAGTCATTTTACAGCCTATGTCAAAGTCTAGATGTTCGTGTCCCTCTGAAATCCCCTCAGAGGACAAACCCCCTCTCCCTGTCACCTCCCCCAGGGCCCCTCATTAGGTGATGATCAGAACACACTTATTGACTCATTGGTTGGATAGATGGATGATGGATCAATCAAGTGACAGACGGATAAACAGAGGAAAAGGTGGAAGGACAGAAGCACAGTGGGTGGGGGTGAGTGGGCATTCACTCGGAAGACTGAGTGGCTAGGTCCACGAGAGAGAGCAGATGAGTCAATGGGTGGACAGAAGGGAGAGGAAGATGGGTTACCGAGTGGCTGGGGTGGGTAGATAAATGGCAGATGAATGAGAGATGGATGGAGGGGTGCAGAGATGCAGTAGGTAAGATAGGCCTGCTTATTTATTCATTCCTATTTTGTCACTAAGGAATCTATGGCTTAGAACAGAAATGGCTCCCCAAGGCCCCAGCAGTAATGGCAGAGCAGGGTGGGATCGAAACCAAGCCTGCTGTCACCTGCCTGTATTGCTACCTGGAAGGGTTCGGTGGCCCACTCACCTCTTTCACAGCAATGCACATGGCCCAGATGAGCACGAACATCCTTCCTAAGAGCTGCAACCACCCCATGTTGTGCGTCAGGGCCAGGGGGTGTGGGAGAGCCTGGGAAGAAGGGGAGGGAATGAATGCTGTGGGGTGGGGCATGACGAGGGCAGGGGTAGTGCCAGCTCTGGAGAGACTGTGCATGTACACACGCCGAGCCCTCAGGCCAGGCCAGAAGCCAGCAGGAAGCCCGATGTCTGTGTGGGGCTAGAGAAGGAATGGCAGCTCCCTGCCCCTGCCTTCCCCACCCACATCAGGAACTCAGATCTCCACAGTGAGGAACAGGCTGACAGCACTCACACCTCATGCCACTTGTCTTTACAAGAACCTGTCCATATTCAGACACTCACAGGGCCTCATCACAGTTCAATAAAGCTGAAACTCTGTAAAGCCCAGAGTAATGGATGGAAACTCGGGCTCAATGTGGTGGGAAATCTTGCGGAAGCAACCTTCCCCTCCCTCTGTATCCTGTGGCCTTCACATCAGAAACACCCGATCAGCCCTAGATTTAGACACAGCTTGGGCCCTGGGTCTCCTAATTCTCCCCCAGTATTGGTCAGCCTGGGGCTCAGCACCCAGGGTTTAACCCAGCTAAGCACTACAGACATACTCAGTTCCCTAGAAACCATGAAGGACAACAATTAGGGAAGCCCACAAAAATCTCTTTGCCTCTCTGGGCCTGGTTTCCCCAGCTCTGACCTCCCCATCCCCCACATCAAGGGGCCCACCTACCTCCTCCTCCCGGGGTCGGTAGTAACAGATGAGAGTCAGGGTGATGTTGTAGAAGAAATAAAGGCAGAAGGACAGGAAGAACATGTACTTGGCAAACTTCTTCCATTTTATCCGCAGCAGTGTGTGCAGGGGCTCCAGGGTCAGCATCTCGTGCCGGTTCTGGCGGAAGACCACCACAGTCACCATGGACAGGAGGGGAGTGGGGAACCATTGTCAAAGGCCCTCATTTCAAAAGAAGCTCTGAGTCAGCACTGTCTCTCGCAGGTCGGGGGGAGGGGGAGACAGTCATTATGTCCCAGGGACTGGTTTGGCAGGAAATGTCAGGAGAGTAATTTCTGGCTCCTGAGGCTCCTTGCCAGTGGGCCCAGGCAGCAGCCAAACACCACAGGAGCCAGGCTTCCAACAGGGGCATCTGGTGTTCAGCGGGGAGCAAGGGCTGGAAGGGAGAAGGAGTGTGACTGGGGCTCTAGCTCCAACTTAGCCCCTCCTCACTATGTAACCTTAGGAAAGCCCCTGACCCCCTCTGGACCTTCTGTCTCCTCATCAATACAACTGATATCAATCAAATGCCCTACCCACCAGGGTGCCCTGAGGGTCCATGAAGACCCCAGACCAGTCAGGCTCTAGGAAGCATGATTCTTGGTAAAATGTAAAGAATGAGGATCCAGTCTGCTGCCTCACTATCCCCAGAGCCAAACACTGCTCACTGCTGATCCTCTCTCTTCCCCTCCAGCTTCACTGACCCTCTGGCCTCATCCAGAAAGGCCTCCCTGGTTCCTAGAACTATGTACTCCCTGACCCTCATCTGGGGCCAGGTTTGGGGGCAAAAGGAATTCTAAGCATGGTCACATAGAGAGAGAAGGGCGGTGGGGGAGAAACAAGATGGAGAAGATCAACACCAACCATTTCCTCCTCCACACCCACACTGCCCAGGATTCCAGGGACCATGAGACCCTCACCCAAGGACCTCTGGGCACAAGTGAACTCCACACAGGCCCTGCCCATATTGTGCCAACTCCACCCACTAAGGTAAAGAAATGGGGGTTGCAGACATGTCCAGCTAGTGGCATGGGGTCTTCCCAATATCCCCAGAGCCCAGCCCCCACCCCTGCCTTTCCCCAGCCCTCTGGGAGACCCACATCAATGTTGGTATTGTAGACAATGATTTCCAGCACCGAGTTGTCTGTCGTGGTGTCCACATTGGTGAGGTCATAGAGTGAGGACGACATGGGCCCATACGCCCAGTCAGTGAACTTCCTGGACAGGCTCCGGAGGGGCTTCTCCTTGATCTCACGACCGAGGATGTACTTCAGGATCTGGGGACAGGGAGAGGAACAATGATCAGCCACAGAATGGAACGTGGGGCCAAGAGCACCAGGAAGATGCTCCCATCAAGGACAGACTGGATCCCACGGTTGCCGTGACCCCTGGGCCTGGCTTTCTCTGTGGAATGGGCAAGACTGTGAATACCAGACACAAAGGTGCAAAGGCCCTTTGTACATGGGGAAAGCTATACAATCGGCTCTTAAGACCCAGTTCAGTGAAGAATCTGGGAACTGAGAATTATGAAACAGAATTTCTGTTTGGTCTGGATCTGAGAAGAAGCTAGAAGTTCTTCCAGCTTCCCCATTCCCCGCCTCAATCAAGTCTCTTCGGCCAGATGAGGCTCACTGCCCTGGCCAGACACAGGGTAATGCAAGATACCAGCCTTGCAGAGAGACCGGAGGACCCACTGTAACACTGCTGCATATCAGGTCACTAGGGATCATTAACAAATCCCACACCACTGTGTAAATCAATCCAAATCTCTGGTGGGGAGCCCAGGCATATCTTGTAAGCTTCTGGGTGGCTCCAAAGGGCAGGCCAGATAGATAGCCAAGCTCTCTAGCTCACTACTCCCCAAAAGCTGAGCTCTGAGGTACCCTAGTACCCTGGGGACCACAGATTCTTGGGGCACCAACCCAAGGCCCAGGAGGAGGGGCGGTGTCAGAGCCCTGATCTCATGTGACTCATTGGGGTTCCTGTCTCATTTCAGGCAGAGTGCTCCCAGGGTAAGGACAGGTGCCCCCAAAGACAGAGTCTCTGTCTTAAGCATCAGAGAGATGGAAGAGGGGAGGTGGGGAAGGGAAGAGGAAGGACATGATTCCTCCTTTGTCAAAGCTGGTCTCCATTTCTCCTCCTCCAACAAGAGAATGAGAAGGTCCCCTGTGGGCCCCAGCCCTCACCATTGAACCAAGACCCAAGGCACTCAGGGCACCCACTCCCCACCCATCACCTTGATCTCAGAGCAAGCATGGCTCCACCACCAAGAGATGGGAGCCCACCCCAGCTCGAGTCTCCACCAAAACTCCTGGTTAAGCTGCTTGTGGTCACAAAAGGCCATAACCAGCCCCATGCTCTGCTGGGGTCTTGGCTCAGAGTTTCAACCTGATGGACAGGCTGGGGTTTCTCCAGAGCTGGGGAATAGCAGCCCATTGGCTCTGGACCCAGAGCAGCCATTTTGGGACTCCTGTCCTCCCGAGAAGCTGAAGGCCCCAAGCCCCACAGCCTCCTGCCACAAAAGAATCCTCAGACACAATTTGAAATATTGTGTCACTATAGCTTTAAGGCTCCCAACCCTGGCCCCAGAGAGCGGGGTGCCAGGGCAGAAGATAGAAACATGGAGTATCAAGGACTAAAACCCAGAGAGTGGGCCCTTATACTGCACCTCTGTAGCTCTCTGTGGTCACTGACAGCCAACCCACCTCCAGCCACAACCGAACCTTTCCCTGGCTGAGGTGTAACCTGTAGGGCCCCAGGGCTGGCAGATGGTAGAGTGCCTGCTGCCCTCCCACCTGCCCCCAAACCTCACCTCGGCCTTGCCCAGCTTGGCAGCCAGCTGCAGCGGGGTGAGGCCATCTTTGTTGCGCATGGTCTCCAGCTCCCAGTTGCCACTCCTGAGCAAGATCATGTCATACATGTGCATAACAAAGTCATTCTGGGTCTTGAAGTCTTCAGCCACTGTCACCAGCGCATGTAGGATGTTGTTGCCCCGTGAGTCCTGCGAGGTGATGTCCGTCTGCTCGTTCTCCATAAGCAGCTGCACAATCTCGGGCTGGTTGGTACACGCTGCCAGGGCCAAGGGTGTCTCACCTGGGAGAGGTTAGCAGTAGGGCTCAGTTCTCTCATGGACTGGAGCTGTGTTCCCCAAGTCCCAGGACTGAAGCCCATGCCCTGGCCATCTCAGTAGGATGGACCCCTAGGGCTGTCGGTCCCTCTCCCCAGCTCCCTTTTTATGGGAAGAAACTGAAGCTAGATTATTGCAATAACCCTATTTCTTAAACATACCAGGCATTTTCCTACCCCAGAGCCTTTGCGCAGGCTGTCCCCTCTACCTGGAGTGCTGTTTCTCAGATACCTACATCACTCACTACCTCACCTCCTTCAAGTCTTTGTACAAATGTCACCTGTTCAGTGAGTCACCCTAACTGCCCTATTTAGAACTGAAATTCACCTCTTTCTTGCCCTAGAACTCTGTTTCCAGTCCTCATGCTTTACTTTTTTTCCCCCCAGTGGTAGTTATCACTTTCTAACATATGACTTAGTGTAATTTATTGTGTTTATTATTGATGTTCTCTTTCCTGTATAGAATAGAAGTTCCATGAGGTCAGGGATCCTTGTTTTGTTCACTAACATAGTTCAAATACCTAGAACACCACCCGGTGTATATAGTAAGTGCTCAGTAAATATTTAAGAAGCATGAAGGCAGGCGAGTCACACCTGGTCACACAGCAAACCTGAGGCAGAACCAGGACCGGACGGCAGGTCTGCAGCTTAGCTCCCACTTCAATCTGTCCCCTTGCTTCATCCCACCCAGCGAGTGCTTCCCAGTGCCGGCTCCAAACAGGTCTGGCGTTGGGCAGTGGGCTGGACAAGACCCTGTCCTCAAGGCCACCCAGACCCACCTAGTCCTGCTGCTTCAGAAACTGCCCAGAAGAAATACCAGGTCAGGGGGCAACAGCCCTTCGGGGCCGGAGTGGGGTGGGAAGCAGGGTGGACCAGGAACTTTTTGCTGTGATAGGGCTGTCTGCTTCCTGTCCTGGTCACAGGGTCTTGCATTTATGGAAATGAAAGGAACTTTAAATTAAAATGGGTGAATTTTCTGTATCTAAATTACACATTTAAAAAAAATATTCTTGCCCTGAAACATCCTAACCCCAATTGCTTTCGGACTCCTTAGCCTGTCGGTAAGGGAATTTTCATATTCACACTTCTGACTCCCTGTTTGCAGTCCTGAGAGGCACTGAGCACAGAGGCCAAAGGCCAGAGCTGGCGGCAGGGACACTTACATCAGCTGCCTACTGCACAGGGGCGAGTCATTTCCTTGCTCAGAACCCGTCGCTTCGCCTGTAAACTAGGGCCGTCTCCTCATTCTGCCTCCCTGGTCTCTGCTCCTCTTAGATCACCTGTGTCCCCTCTTAGATTTCCAGGTGACATTCGGGGACAGCAGGCTCCCCACTTCCCCAGCCCCTGCCTCTCTGGTCTAATTAAGACGGACCTGTCCTGCCCCCACCCTGGTCCAGGTTCTGCTCTCCAGGACAACTCTGGGCGGCAGAAGTTCGCAGTGGGCTCTCCAGCCCCCAGCCCCCTAGCGCCTCCAGGCAAAGGCTGCCGGGCAGGGCGGGGCGGGCCCTCTGCCCTCCTCCCCGACCCCAATCCTTGCCCCTGCCGGACTGGCGGCACCTACCGAAATAGAAGCCTTCGTGCTGGTACTTGGGGTTGAAGAAGACCCCCTTGGCGTGGGCGTTGACGTCGGCGCCGGCAGCGATGAGCAGCGCTGTGATGTCTCCCTGCCGCCGCTCGATGGCGATGTTCAGCGCTGTCTGCCCTGTGGACAGGGTGGGAGGGGTGGGGGCGTTCAGCGGCTGAGACCCCGGTGACAAACCCTATTTGGCCTCTTTCCCTTTCTGGTCTCCCTACCCTCCACCATGGCGAAATAAGCTGCCTGTCTGGTCTTGGTGTCGCCAGCTGCCAAGAGTCCCAACTTCATCCTTTGCTTCAATTTTACATGAAAGCAAGGACTATTTAAGGAGCGCCTACTCCGTGCTTCCCAACGTGGACCTGGGGATACAGTACACACGGGATGCAGTTTTGATTCTTGTTCTGAAGAAGCAGAGTCTCGCTGAAAATTAAGTGCTAGCCTACAGGGAGGTGGGGGCGCTCTAGTACCAGCGCTGGGCTCTTAATCCAGGCCAGTGGGGTGAGGGGCTCCTAGAAATGGCCTCTTAAACAGCCATCATGGAAATTTGACAAGGCTGGGTGGGGCCAGCTCAGAGCCTGATAAGCCAGGGTAAGAGGGTAGAACTTCATCCCAAGGGCCGGGGGAAGTCGCCACATGTTGAAGCAGGAAAGTGACACGTCCAAAGTTTGGGGGTTTTGTACATATGCATTTTCAGGTCAGTCTGGCTGCAAAATTGGAGGGTGTTTTAAAAAGAGCCCAGACTTAGGCGGGACTGTTGCTCCAGTAGAGAAAGAGGTAATAAAGCCCAAAGAACATTAAGAGAAAAAGTCCAGAAAATGATCTGTGAGTCTTGAAGAAAACAAGTCGTCTCAGGTGACGTCCGAGTGGCTGGCCTGGGTGCTGGGTGACTGGTGCTGGTGACTGAGGAATGGAACCAGGGACAAGCAGGGAGGTAGAAGAGGAACCTTAAGCCTGTGGACAGAGCCTTCCGAACCTCCAGATGGAGGAGGTGGGAAGACAAAGGAGGAGGGGTGTCTCAGATTGTCCCACCAGAAGCAGCGTTTTCCAAAGAGCTACCACCTTGCAATACATAAAAATAAATTCCTGGTGTATAAAAGAACCAAGCATTCTTTAAATTGTTTTAAAAATAATTTATTCAATTAAGTCTGAAGGCCTCTGATAATCTGCTAAAAATAAGAATATTTGAAAAGCTGTCATTGTATGCCTCTTAAGCAGTATAGGGAGGAAATGTTAGCCTCTGCCAAGATGGGGAAACTGAGGCTCAGAAAGGCAAGGTGATTGCCCAAAGTAAGGGAAAATGCTTCTCTTACAGGGAGTGCCTAGAACAGGGAAGGGAAAGTGTCAACAGATGCTATCAGGGGGAAGAGTAGGGGTAGGTGTCTGGGAAGACAGAAATAAAAGGTTCCTCCCACCATGCAGAGGGCTGGGGTACCCACAGCCCCCCACCAACCCACCAGCAAAACACAGACTCATGAAAGAAGGAAAGGACAAGGGGAGACTGAGAAAGGAGAAAGGTAAGGAATTCCAGCCAGGACAGCAAAGTCTTAACAGAGACACTAATCTTTATTTATTCACTCATTTAAAATATATGTATTAAGGACCTCTTAGGTGAGACCCCAAGGGCACCAGAGAGTCCACTGTGGGGAAAGCAAAGTCCATCCCTTCCCTCAAGGAGAACATGCTGCTGGAAAGAGGAGTGTGTAGTCCCTGCAATACTGAAGAAGAAAAGAAGGGAGAGGGGCCAAAAAGGGAGAAGAGTCAAGACAGAGAAGTCTGAGGCCCTGCCTAAACCCCCCTGGCCACGGGGCTAGTATCAACTCTCTCATGACAAGCTGAAAATATTATATAGCTCGTTCAGTTTCTGTCTTTACTTTGGCTACCAGGGAACTCAAAGTGTTGCTCAGCACTCAGGTGCCACAATCTTCCCAGAGTTTCCTCTCTTCCAATTGATGGCTGTTAGTTTTTCACAACCCTTGACTTTGTGTGTGAGAGAGAAACGTTAAGGGCTGGAGCTTGACTCCCATCTGCAAAAGGCTGAGATGCTCAGTGCCACCGGCATGTCATTCAGACGGCACCCAGTAATCCTTGAGCCCATTCTTTCTGCCACAAGCGCCTCATAAGATCCCAATGGGATGTTTAGCAACTCCAAAAACTCCAATGAAGATCCACCTCACTGATTATTTACAACTGATTATTCCCGACCAGGGAAACACTATCCCAGGGGGTCCCATGCGCCTTCCCTGGACCACCTAAGAAAGAAGCCACTAAACTGAGACTCAATGGGACAGTTGATGATGATGACAATGATGATGATACTAATAGTTGCCATGCGTTGGCCCTGCCCAGCTCTCTAACCTCATCTCCAACCTTCTTTCCATCACTCAAATGTGCCATGTTCATTTCTATCTCAGGCTGTTCTGGATCCTTCTCAGCAGGTCAGGTCAAAGGTCACTTCTCTGACCATCTACCCTAAAGCTGCCCATCCCCACTCACTTTTGGTCACATTACCTTTTTTCATTTTGTTTTTAAAGCGTTTTTCATCTAAAATCACCTTGTTTAGAGCAGTGGCCTTCATCTGTCTTGTTCACCACTGCACCCTGGTGCCAAAAGCAATGCCTGGCAGGTGGCCAGTGCTCAAAATTATTTGTAGAATGAAGGAAGGAAGAGAGGAGTGCCTGCTATGTGCTGAGTGCCACGCTGTGTGCTTCGGACTTTCAGTGACAGCAGCACCTCTGCATGGCCTGGCCGTGCCCGCTTGTCCACAGCCCCCTCCCACAGGCAGGTACCTTCATAGGCTTCCTCAGTGTACTCAGCATTGATGAACCTGTCCAGAATGTCGTTTTCATCAGCAAAGGCCAGCAGGATCCGCACAATCTCCTTGGTGTGGGGGTTGATGTTCAACAAGGCCTTCATCAGGCAGGTCTTCCCTGTGTCTGAAGCTGTCAGCTTGTGCATGAGGAAGTCTGCAGGCAGGGTCACAGGGTGGAGCCACAGGAGGGGCCCTCGGCCCTCCCAGCCCAGAGGAGGGGAGGTCGGGGTGTGGGAGCTGCCACCTCAGACCTCAAGACCTTACTGTATGCCCCTGCTGGCCTCCCTGAGCCCACACCCCCTACCCACTCTGCTCCATCTCCTCTGCGGGCTCCTCCTTCACAGAGGCCCAAGAGAACCTTATCCAAGGACTTTCACTCTGGCTTCTTCGTTCTCTCCCTGGTAGGGGGCAACTCCATTGACTGCATTGCTTCCCAGCATCTGCTTCAGTGCTAAAGCCCCAAATCTCCAGCCTGCCCCCTCCTGGTAGCCTACAAATAGAGACTTCCCTAGCCTGCTACTCCCCTTGTCCCAAGACAGCTTGGGGACGCTACCACCCATCAAGTCACTGATGGTACCGCCTGACTCCTCCCTCCCCCTCACTGCCCATGTCCTTGAATCCTGCCAATGCCACTGCCTGAGCACTGTGCCCCCTCCCTCAGACCTGCTGCTGGGGCTCCAACTCTGCCTGGACAGAGGCCTTCTCCAGTTTCACCCCCATTCTCCAGGCAGTAGCCAGACCGTGACCTTTACCTGTCTGAGCCCCTCCATGGCTCCCCATTGCCCTCAAAGTCAGGTTCAAAGTCCCTAACCCAGCATTCAGGGCTCCTCACACGCCAGCCCCACAGGTTGGTGAGAAAGAAGGTGAGCAGTAGGAGCCCCACAGAAGTCCCCAGCTCTGCACCTTCTGCCAGAGCCAAGCACTGACCAGGCACATCCAGGCTGCGGCGCCTCTTGCAAAGCTCCTGCAGCTCCACCAGCAGCCCCAGCAGCTCCTCCACAAAGCCCTCAGACACAGCTGCAAAGATGCGCTTCTTCAGCCGCTTCTTTTGTCGCCTCCGCTCTTCTTTGGCCAGGTGTGCACTGAGGCTAGAAAATTTTTCATCTCACCACACATGCACCACCCCACCACCCCTCTTCCTCTCCCCCCACCAGAGTTGCTGTGCCTACAGGACACTTCACCCCCAACATCTCTGCATGCCTGTGGCGATGCCTGAAACCCCCTCCGTTCATGCTCCAGGCCCCTGGGATCCATGGTGCCCTACACAGTCTCCCCTTCTATTCCAAATGCAATCACATCATATCAAATGTATATTCAGATGCACAGAGTCATGAATAAGAAGGATATATGCCTAACTTAATAGTGATTACCTTGAAAGTATGGGACTAGGGAAAGGGAAATTTCGTTTTCATATTTTGTGTTATTTGAATTTTTTCATCTATTCCCCCCCACTCCAAATAGCAACTATGCTAATGTGTTGACATGTATCCTTTGTCTATATGTGCTCTTGCAGAATGCACATTGATGTGTGATTGTTTATATGCATGTATTTTAAATTTACATATATGGTATTGCATTAAGATCTCATTTTGCTACATACTATAATGGATAAGTATTACTTTTATAGTTTATAAAATGTAATATTCCCCTCCTCCAGTAAATTTTCTACACATCACAGCCACAGGCCCAGACATTTGCTCCAACCCCCCAAGAGTGGCGGCTTCTTTCTTTGTTACTCAGGGGCCCAGTGCCTGTCCTTCTGGAACCAGCCTGTCCGGCGCTGTGGGAGGAGGGGAAGGGCCAGGCTCACCTGGGGCTGTTGGGATTGGATGGTGTCTCTGTCACATCGTCCTGAGGAGATTGTGGTGAGTCCATGTCATCACAGTTGCCAGAGAGGCTGCAGGAGAGGGAGAAGAGAGGAAAAAAGTTTAAAAATGAACAATGCTAGCATGCCACAGCCAGGCTTGGCCAAGTGGCCCAGGGCCAGTCACCACCATCCTCTCGAGCAGAAGGCCAGCTGGGGCAGCCGGTTGTACTCACCACTGTCGGATGTTGGAATCCATAGGCTTGGAGAAGATGGGCGGGGAGGTCTTGGCAACAGTGGGGTTGGGCTCAAACCCTTCTATCTCCAGGAAGAAGTGTGCACTGGAGGGACAACCAAGCAAGGCCATTAGAACTGGGGCAGAGCCTGTGCGCTTGTGTGCACTGTGACCCTGCTGCCAAGGGTGCCAACGCACTCTGCCAGCTCCACACTGGACTCCGTGCCCGTGTGGTCTTGCCTCACCCCACAACAGCCCTAGCGGTGGGATGGGGGGCTATTGACCTTATCACCCCCATCTCATAGGCAGGCATGTGGAGGCTCTGAGGTCAAGCAACTTGCCTAAGGTCACACAGTAGGAAGGTTTTGGGGCCTGGATTCAAAGCTGGGTGACTTCTCACTAGAAATGCTGGCTAGATGAATCCAGGGGTCTCTATTGGGGTGGCCTACCACCTGAGGGGGTTCCTGTCTGCAGCTGCTCCCAGGGGCCAGGGACTCTGCAGGGATGGAGCACATGGCAATGGGAGCTCATCCCTCCATCCCCACCCCCATGGCCTCTCCTGCCTCAGGTCTGAGACAGAACCCAAGACCATGAGACACGCAGGAGCCTTTCCTGGCTCTTGAGGGAGAGTTGAAAGGCTGGGGTTACATTGGCTGCTCAGATATAGTCCCCACCCCCACACTCAACTGCCTTCTATCATCACTCATGCTGGGGATCCTGTCAGGAAGAAAAACTCAGGGAAGCGCTTTGGACCGGAGAGGTGAGGAGCAGTGGAAGGGCACATGAAGGGCTGCTCTTACCTGGGGCTGGGAGAAGAGAGAGGAGAGTTTAGAGCCCGGAAGAAGGAGAGAGATTCACTGTCCCATAAGAGGCAAGATACACACCCAAGAGGCAACTTTCCAGACAGACATAGCCTCGGCCTGTCTTTGGACACACCCACAAATGCAAACATGCATGCTCTCCGAACCCACAACCACACACGCAGAGACACACCTTCTCGAGATGATCAGGCTGGTGAGGATCAGGCTGAGGATGACCTCTGTTACAGCAACACCCCCACCTCACAGCTGCTGCAGAGTAAGTGTTGGTTCTGTGACCTGGCTCTGTCACCTGGCCTGGACTGTGGCCTCCTGCCACCTGCCTCCTTCACAGGCCCAGAAGGATCAATGCACAAGACCACAGAAGAGCTCCCAAAGTATAGTCCCAGCCATATCAAGTTCAGAAGGGAGGGCTTCAGGGGAGGAATGGTGACCCCATTCTACAAATGGGGAAACTAAGGCCCAGTATGAAGAAGCAGTCCATCCATAGTCACCCCTGAGGGTAAAAGCCAAATTAGTCAGAGTACTGACTCCTAATATCCAGGCTCTTGGCTTATACCATCATCCATGCTGCTCTGTTCTCCCCTCAGCCCTCTGAATCTGCTTTCAACCAGTCAACTCCAACAATTAGCTGCAGAGGCAGGCCACCTAACGCAGCCACCTCCTGGGGTGGGGTGGACAGGAGGAAGACCCAGGCGGTGCCCGAGGAATCCCTCTCCTCTACTCTGGGCACAGACAAGCCTGGAAGGCTCAACGAATCCAGAAATGGGTGAAGGGTGGTGGGGGGCAACATTTGCTGACACGTCAGCCCTCTTCCTGTTTCCTACGCATCAAGAGGAACCTTCTGACCTGACCTAAAGTCAGATCCTTCTTCCAAAATAGAAGACAAGGGAGGAGAAAAACCCCTGACTTGGAGCCTGAGGCTTGGGTTCTAGTCTGGCTCTGCCTCTGCCTCCTGTGTGACCCTAGGTGGTCTCTTGCCATCTCTGGGCCAAGCATCCTCACCCAGACAGAGAATGATTGGGCCAAATGACCCCCAAGGCTTGGACTTTGGAGCAGGGAAGCAGTGGGGTCACCCATTTATGGACCGTAAATGGGCATCAGAGGTGATCGGTCTGATTGGCCACACCCCTGCCTCCTGCAGTGCCCCCACAAGAGCCACCTCTCTGGGCTCCTCAGTAGTACATTTACTCAAAAAATAGAGTACTTTACTCCATTTGTTGAGAGCCTGCAAGGTTCCAGGTACTGTTCTAGGAGCTGGTGGTATAGAGGTGAACAAGTGGGCAAAATCTCTCCCCTCACAGAGTTGCTGTTCTGGTGCATTGGTCCAAACTGGCCTCAGTGATCAGACCAGGGCATAGCACAGTAAGGCTCTTGTTTTATTCACTTTAGACCACACACTGCCCTTCAGCTATAAGTTCCTCAATGAAGAAACTACAATTATTTCATCCCTAATTCACCAGAACTCAACACTGGTCCTCACACTCAGAAGACCTAACGAAATGGATGAGCAGAGAGATGGATAGATAGTGAGTGAAAGGTAAATGAGTGAGAAGAATGGCTGATGGGATAGGTAGACAGATGAGTGGTGAGTGGATGGATGAGTAGATGGATAGATGATGGATGTATGAATGGATAAAGGGAAAGATGGATGGATGGATTCATACAGGGAAAAAAGGAAGGAGGGAAGGAAGGAAGGAAGGAAGGAAGGAAGGAAGGAAGGAAGGAAGGAAGGAGGGAGGGAGGGAAGGAGGGAGGAATAGAAAAGAGAAGGAAGGGAGAGTGGCTGAGGAATTAGTAGTTGGGTGGATAAGTAGGTGAATAGATGGACAGACTGGTGAACTGGACCAATGAGCACACAGACAGCCACAGCCCGACACTGTAATGTTCAGAGGCTGCATCCCTCATGTGCCTCCCTCTGGGCTCTCAGTTGCCCAAGTCCTCACCTCTCACCCCCAGCCTTGCACAGGACTCTGAGAAGGGGCCCTCTGCCTCTCTTCCACTCCTCCTTGCAGGGCCTCCTCCCAGAGTCTGCAGGGGTCATAAGAATGGCCCAGAAAACCAAATCATGAAAGCATCTAGCCACTCCAAGCCTGGAGATGGAGGGCCCGAGGGAAGGGAAGAAGCATATGAAGCATCTCACAGTGAAGTGACCTCACTCATGCTGAGGGGTTGTGCTGAGCCCCAAGGTGGCTTACTCATCAACTCACCCACTCCTTCTCTTCTCATCTTGCCTGCTCCTTCACTGACTCAGCCACTTACTCAAAAAAGTATGAGTGTGCTCCGTGTAGGAAACCTGGGGGCCAGGGGGGGCAGGCATGATCTTTCCAGAGGCCCTGACTTCAGAGATCTCAACCAGAGCTAACATTGTCCTAATAACTAGGCTACCTCTTCAGAGAGACTGTAGGAGCTCGGGGGAGGAGAAGGGTATCCCAGTTGAGGACAGGGACGGGGAAGGCTCTGTGCTCTGTCAGGTGGGATTTGAAATGAACCTGTGGTTTGGGAAAAGCCCTGGAAGCAGAGAGAGCAGCATGAAAGAAGCATCTAGAAGGAAGGTGAGGGCTGTGTCTGAGAAAGGAGGAAGGAGAGTGGTGAGAGCCAGGCTGGAGAGGACCCGTCAGTGGGCAAGGATCTAACTCCTGGGGCAGGAAGCTGTAGGACCACGAGGGCTTGTCCTACCCTACTTGCACCTGCCACCTCTCACTCTCCATCATGAGCCAATGGCAAGTTCTTGTGACATCTGGCTCCTGATCTTTGGCATCATTTATTCCTACCTTTGGCCCACACCAAAGGGCACCACCTGGGTGTTTGTCTGCCTGGGTGTTTGTCAGGGTATTTTGTTTGTTTTTAAAGATTTTATTTATTTTTAGAGAGAGGGGAAGGAAAAGAGAAAGAGAGGGAGAGAAACATCAATATATGGTTGACTCTCACATACCCCCTACTGGGGACCTGGCATGTGCCCTGACTGGGAATTGAACCGGCAACCCCTTGATTCACAGGCTGGTGCTCAATCCACTGAGCCACACCAGCCAGGACACCACTTGGGTGTTGTTAACTCAGGTGAACAGACAGCTCTGCACTATTTCTCCTGCATTTCTGTCTCTCTGGAGGCAAAGAAGAAAGGCAGGAGGGTGGTGTGTGGTGGCCTAGCTCAAGGGTAGCTCTGCTCTTACTCAGACAAGCTCACTCAGGAGCCTGTCTCACCTTCTTTGTCCCAAGAAATGCCCACATACTCTGAGGCTAACTCTTACACAGCCTTTATCAGCCTGTGTTTCTGTCCCTAGGTATCACCTTGCCCAGGGCCCAGTAAGATGGTCACAGTGATGGCTACTCATGGGGATTAGCGGGAGTGCCTATGATGGTTCAGGAAAAATCTCTCTAAAAACCTCTCCCCAATCTAGACTTCTTGGTGCCTTCAATTCCACTGTGAGTGCATATTTCCCTAATGGTCAGAATTACCTTCTTTGTTTACATATAATTTTTCTTTTCTTTTTTCCTTTTCTTTCTAGACCTGAGGAGTCTTATACCTAGTCCTGAGGGAAATGCCCAAACTTTTAGGACCTTGGGAGAAGTAGGCACACAAGCCCCTCAAAGAGCCCTTGGGAAGAAGAAGGGGCCTCCACTTCCCAAGAAAAGGGTCTCACACCCAGACGCTTGACTGGTTAAGGCCATAGGCAGAGCAGAGCTGGGAGCTAAGCTCATGAACAGGAATGGGCTCAAAAAACACAGCCTGACTGCTGGAAGAACCTGGGATTTTCCTGAAACTCTGACTTCAATCCTTCCCTTAGTTTCCAATCTCCCCTGGGAACATGAGAGGGGGGCGGTGAGGGGAAGAGAGGCAAGAGTGTAGTAGTGTTTGGTGGCTTACCTCAAAAATCTTTCTGCTCTTATTCAGACAAGCTCACCCAGACCCAGACTGCCCCATGGGCCTGTCTGGTCTATGAACTTTCTCTCCTGTGCTCCAGGATGGAGCTTCCCTTTGGATGTCCCTTACATACCTCTTAGCAAACATTTCACACCTGAACTTGGCTTATTCCTTCTGACCTTGTTCCTTCTCCTCTGACGTGTCTGTGTTGAAGAGGGCACCATTGTCCCTCCAGCTCCATCCCCCAACCAGAAGAAGAGGATGTTTTGTTCTCCATTCTCCCTCCCCTCCCATAGTTAACCCTGTGGACCCCATCATCCTAATATCTCTCTGATTGGCCCCCTTTTCTCCACCCCTAACTGTCCAAGCTCAGACCTCACCATCTGGGTTTCCCAACAGCTTCTCCTCCAATCCATCATCCACCCAGATCACCCAGAATATCCTTTCCAAAATGCAAATCTCACCATGCTCTTCCTTTCATATGAAGCCCTCTGTGGCTCCCCACTGCCCTCTGTTTTGTCCAATCTCCTTAATTGACCACCAAACCCATTCCCAATGGAACTCATCTCCTCGAACTCCCCCACCCACCCAGCACTTCAACCACATGGGACTTTTCACTGGTCTCTGCCCCAGCCCCTGCCCAAGATGCCCTTCCTCCTCCTCTCCACCTGCCATCATCCACTCTAGTATCACCTCCTCCAGGAAGTATCCCGAGACTCCCCACAGGATCAGCATTACTTGCCCCCCCCCACCGTCATGCCTGCCTAGTTCACCCTCTCTCTGGGGCACTTCCAGTTCTCCTTGGTGCCCCCTCTCACCAACCAGACAGTGAGCAGGGGCAGGCATTCTTATTTCCATGTCCTGGACTCCCCAGCCTGGGCCCAAGCCTAGACCAGATGCACAGAAGACCTTGGGGATTATTAATCAAACCAACGTAAGGAAAAGTACCAAGCTCACCTCTGGCCCAAGAGTATGCCTGGGACAGGGGCAGAGGAAGCAGAAAAATGGGCCAGCTTAGAGCAGGGGGGCCCACCCCAGAGCCAGGGGAAGCACAACTGGTCGGGGGCAGGGGCATTCAGGATTGAGGGGCAACAAATAGGCTGAGGAGGTGGAGGGACTACAGCGGAGTCAGCTCAGGAGACAGGTGTGACCCTGGAGAAGTACTTTCCTTCTTCCATGTTCCCAACTAAGAATTAATAATAGCCATCCCAGCCCTGGCTAGGTTCCCGGGGCCCTGTGGAGTGAGGAAGACAATGATGATGATGAAGATGAAGATGAAGATGAAGGCAACAAAAAGAGTATTAATGCCAACATATGCTGGGCACCATCTGCAGGCCAGGCACAGTGCTGAACACTTTGATGGCAAAATCCCAACCAACTGTCATCCTATAAGTCGGTTCCATTGCTGGTGTCCCTGTTGCACAGGTAGAGTTACAGAGGGTGAATAACCTGGTTGGGCATGCAGGGGATGTGCCCAGTGGGGGGGGTCACACCACCTGGAACCTCCACCCACCTTTTGCTCCTTGTCTCCAGGATGGCTCCGGCCATCCCTTACCTCCCCCAGGAGCCTTCCTGAATATTCCTGTCTCAGTGCACCATGACCCCTTCAGGAAGGCCTCCCTGATTATTCCAGCCATACTGACCTCCCCAGCTCAGCCTCCTGAGTTTGCAGTGTGGTTTCCCCACCTCGCCCAAGTTATATGTACCCGGTTGGGCACCAGACCACTGCAGATGAGACTGAGACTCTCAGGTTCACCCCAGACAAGGGCTCAGGAGGGTGGGCACAGCAGTCACGGTGCCCACCCTCCTGAGCCCTCGCAGCACAGCGCCCAGGCCCAGGCCTGCCAGTCTTACTTCTTCTTAGTGGGGGTGATCTCTGCTGGCCTCTTCTCCTGCAGGATGACAGCATTCCCACCGGCGACAGTGGCTTTTCTTCCCATCAGGGACACCAGCTCCTTGGGGTGGGCCTCCATGTCTAGTACACAGTCACAGCACAGATGCTCAGGTTAAGGGGCAGGAAGGAGCTTCAGGGGGCTTCAGGCCCCCTGTGCCCCCTGCTTACACCACCTAGGAGGGGAACTCACTCTCTCCCTTCCCAGGCCACCAACTCTTCTCAGGAAGACCGTGCCTGAAGCTTTCCCTGTTCCCTGCTCTGGCACCCTGCACCTGTGGGTCCTAGGAGAGTCCTGCAGAGCCTCCAAGTACAGACCACCATGCCCTGAGCCTCTCTCAGGCCGTCATCTCCAGCCTCACCCCCTTCAGGTGGCCTCCTGAGAAGACACTCTGCTGTCCCAGTGCTCGCCTCTGGTTTTGTGCTCGGAGCTGTCCTCAAGAGAACAGGACTCACCACCTCCTTTGCTCTGGACACTATGCTCCTACTAACACAGCTTCAACCCCTCTGCTTTTTGGATTTCTCCACACCTTGGTGCAGCTAACACACTGATCCTCAGAGCAAAGGAGCCCCCTTCCCCAGGGACAGAGGGGCAGCCCCTCCATCCAGACCTGCTTTACTGGTGTTCAGTACATTTGGATCCTGTGCTGGGCTGGGAGGGAAATGCTGGAATGAGGGGCTGATACATCTTCTGAGGAGACAGTGGAGGGAGGAAGAGCAATCCAAGCAAATGGATGGCCTGAGCCAAGACCAGCAGTCAAAAGGTTGAGTGAGTGGCAAGGAGCTGGTGTGGCCAGAGAGCCTGGGCTCTTCATGGGGAGCCCTGGCAGCTAAAGGCTTGGGAGCAGGATGGGCCAGGTTGGAAGGGCCTGGAACACCAGGCAGGAGCTGTGGCAGATCCCAAGGCAGCGGGGCACACAGGACACAGCCACCTTAGAGAGAACAGGCTGTGTGTGGCGTGGGGACACCAGAGACCAGGGTTCCAGAGGGAGGCTGCTGTGAGGAAGGGTGGGCTGACCATATAGAGAGAGATGGTGAAGGGGCAAGGGTTGTGTGGACAGAGGGTGACTCTGAGGTTGATGGGGACAATTCTCAGCCTGAGCAGCCCTCAGAGAACTCCCTCCAAGTCACAGGGGTGGGAGGGAGGTGAGGGACAGATTTCTGTAAGAAGAGACCAGTTGGGGGAGTAGAACTGGGGCCACCAGTGATGGCTTCCTGGAGGAGGTATCTGGAGCAGGTTGTCATCAGACTAGAGTAAGGTTTAGAAATGTCACAACCCCCCTACACATGCTAAAAGTGAGCGACTCAGGAGGGGAGGGGTCATTCAGCAGAGGCCTTTGGCCCTGAGTTCAGGCACCTGGAGGCAGGGAGCTCTGAGGAGGGGCTTCAAGGCCAAAGGGCAGAGCAGCCCATTGAGAGAGGATTGAAACAGCCAGATGCACAGACATGCAGGCCAAGAGTAAAGAAGGATGAAAGGCATATCTCCCACACCTCCCTGGGCCTCTGGCTTCTATTCTGAGAAATGGGCTAAATGGTCCCCGAGGACCCTGTGTCTCTATGCATGCCAGCTGGCTGCTCCACCCTCTTTTCCCTGGGCCCATGAGTGTGGGCGAGTAGTGGGCAGTGAGGGACAGAGGTTCAGGAGAACCCTGGACTAGGAGTGCGGCAGCTGTAATTAGCTCCCTGAGTCACCCTGAAAACTCGGTGTTCTCACCAGCTGGACTCTCTCACTGTCTTGGCATCCCTGTCTCCAGAGCAGGCTTCCACCTGGGAAGTAGGAGGTCGTGCCTCCCAAGCAGTAACACTGACTGGAACAGCCTTTCCTTGGAGATGGACAAGGCCCACAGCCACAAGGGAGCCCCCACACCGGCTGGCCCAGCACCTGCGGAATGCCTGGACACAGTCCCGCTCAAGCTCTGGAGCCACCTGACCCCATCCTGAAGTCCCATCACACCCGTGCTCTAGAGAGGCACATCCCTGGGCCTGCTAGGAAGACAGGAGCCTTACCTCTGGCCTGGGCAGCTGTGAGAGTTCTCCCTCTGCCAGACTCCCAAACCTCAGGGAAGGGTTCCTGGGCCCACCAGAACCTGTGCTCTCGAACCCTCCCCATGGCCAAGGACTCATGTCCAGCTTTGTTTCCCCTGCTGAGCCTCATACTCCTTCCCAACCCTAAGGAGCTCTCTCTGGACTTCCTTGGGGCTTTGAAGGGCACTGGCTGCCTGTGTGGCAACTCACCTGGTGAGGTCCAGGTGGCAGTGGCTGCCCTTGCTCTGAGATCACCGAATGTCCCGGGCCCAAGGCCCGCCGGTGGGACTGTGGCTGAGGCAGCAGGAGGCTCTCATCACAGGGAGAGAGATGGCTGGAATGAGGATTCAGAGGCAGAACTGGCTGGGCCACCTGCCCTGGGCACCAGGCAGGCCACACCCACCAGCTGGCTGCACTGCCCGCCCGCCCACGTGCCATGCCTGAATCACCTCCACGCCCACCTGGCAGCCTCACCCTGACCCAGGAGAAGGTGAGGAGGCAGCAGGTGTCAAGGCCAATGCTCTGGTCTCAAATCTTCCCTCTCTTTTATTGGATGATTCACATCATGAGCCTCAGTTTCCCAACTGAGAAATGGGAATCAATGCCTACTTCCCAAGGATGCTGTGAAGTCAGAGGTTCTGCTGGTGGGAGGGCTTAATGAATAGTCAAATGCTCTGTTCTGGCCCCTGGGAGGCAAAGCCACCACTGAGGCTCAACTGGGTGACCTCAGAGGGGCCAGCCCCAAGACTTGATAGCAGTCCTTCAGAGCCTGGGATCAGGTCCCCTCAGAGACAGAAGTCCCCAGTCAATGTTCCCACTAGAAATGATGCGCCACAGACCTTGGTGTCAGATAGCCTCGCCCATTTCTGACTGTATGACTCTGGCCAAGTCATTCTCCCCAACCTCAGTTTCCTCATCTGTGAAATGGGCCTCATAAACCCCTTTTCCAAGTTACCGAGTTGCTATGGGGATTAAATGGGAGAACACAGAGAACGAGGCCCAGAGAACAGAAAGTACTCAATAAATAGAGACAGCTATTAGCTATTATTGTTTTCATCATGCTGATTCATTCTCCCAGCAACTGCCCTGGGCACTTGCATCAGGGAAGACTCTGCCCTCCCTACACTCAGGCCACAGCTGTGAAGGGGCAGGGCCAGGCTGGTGTGGCCCTGCCTGTCTCCATGTCACCCGGGAATTACACACCTGCTCCTGTAGGCCTGATGGAACTGGGATGGAGCAGGAAGTCTCTGCAGACAGGGACAGCGCCAGTGACTGATGCAGCAGGGACTTCCTTGACTGCCATGGGACATGCCTCTTCATTCCTCATCACCACAACCTGCCAGGCCTGGGGAGAGGCAGCAGGAGGGTCAAGCTTCTGACAGTGGGACAGCAGGCCCTGTGCCCAGGAAGGAGCAGAAAACCTGGCTTCGGGGCCAGCAGGCCTCAGGCGTGGCTGATGTATGGGGTTGTTCTTACTATTTAAGTCAAGGGGGTCCCGAAGCTCCCACGCACACAATTCAAAATTGCATCCCTGCCCGGAATTCCACATTAAAGCCCATTCTGGGATCAAGCATAGTTCTCCCTGTCTTACTCAGTTAATTGCCCCTCCCGACTGAGTCCCTCACCCCTCCTGGCTTGCTTCTCACTGCCCGAGAGCCCTGGGGGTGAGGCTGCTGCCAAATTCCAGTGTTGATGCTTTGACTGGTGTCAGCACATTTTTTCAAAGGCCAGGCTGGAGCTGGTTCAAAAGGCCTCCCCATCTCCCTCCCAAAAGGGAACGGACTGTACCCAACAAGGAGTAAGGGAGCCCCCTCTGCTGTGGGAGGGAGCAGGGGCCACATCACCGACAGACTCAGAGCCATGTCCTCCACTCCCACCCCACACACATGCAAACACAGCTCCAGCCCACTTAATCCAACACACGGTGGCAGCCCAGGGTGACAGGCGAGGCAGGGAAGCCAGGGACCAGCATGAGATTCAGAAATGGAGACAGTGGTCTCCTCCTCCAGGAATATGAAACCCTACCCCCACCTGGCAGGTTGTAAGGACAAAAAGGACTCAGGCCACCAAGGAGGGAGGAAGTGCCTCTAATGGGGAGGTGGGAGGTGAGCATTTGGGTTGGACTTGAAAGGAGGAAGGACAGGAGAGCCACAGAAGAGGGACTCAGAGGCCAGAGACCCCAGACATTCAAGGAGTGGTGACACGTTTGGGTGGCATTAAAACTCAGTGGGGCATCAGAGGCGCTCTGCCGAGTCCAGCTGCAGCCCACTGAGTGACCCCAGGCCACTGAGTCAGCCCAGACCCCTGTCACAAAGGGCTGTGCTGGCCTAGTCTCACAGGCAAGGGGCACAAGGCCCTGCTGAGGACACTATTGTCATGTGGTCAGGTGGGAAGGGAAGTGATGGGCTGGGCTGAGCCAGCATCTCATACCAAAGCCAGTGCCAGCTGCTGCTTCCCAGTGGGACTCTGGACCTGTGTTTGGGGCCCATACAGCACAGCAGCAGGAGCGTGGAGCCAGGAGTCCTGCCTCTTTCTTCCAAGCCTGGTCCCCCCGCAGAACTGCTGAACTGAGCTTTGCCCACCCTGCCTCCATCACCACCATGCACATGCCCCTAAGCAGTTACTCACAGCCACCCCAATGCCTAGGAGACTGGGAGGATTAACAACTGCCCCCACAGTGGAGCTCCTTGCTCCTTGGTGTTCCCTGGTGCAGCCGTGATCCCTGCTGTGTGCTCCCTTCGCCAGTGACCTCAGCTCCCTCTCTGCCAGTGAATTTTCAGGCAGAGCCTAAAAAGGTGCAGTCCCAGGAGGGAACTTTCAAACCAGCTGTGCCTGTGGAACAAAACAACAAAAAGCACGGGCCAGTGGGCCAGGGTGGGATGTAGGCTGCAAAGGGAAAGGGCGGCCTCTGCATATTCCCGACCCAGTCCTGCTCCCCGAAGCCCCTAGACTTGGCCCTGTATGCCCCCCTATATGTCCCCAATTCTCCAGGCTGAGATCAAAGCAGAAGTCTCAGCCAGCAGTGTCTGTCTGCACCACGTCTGTCTGCTGTGGAATGTAAAATGCCCACAGCAGATGACACACCAAATGCCCCTTCTCCATCCTGTCTGCACCTCCCAAGCCTTGCAGACATCAGGGCCCAGGCAGGTCCACAAGATTCTCCCAAGAGAGAGAAATGAGAGAAGAGGTCTCTGTGGGTGGGTGTAGCCAGGTAGGGGCCAACCCCTTGACCCACTCTAGTAACACCCCACTTGGTACTGTGAGGAAGGAGGGACCAGGCAGAGCTCCATCAACAGCCTTGGGCACACTCAACAGTGGTCAGGAGAGGGCCACCACATCCTGGCAGCCACAGCTGTCCTTGGGCAAGGAGAGCTGAGCAGCCTCCCTGTCAGGGATTCTGGGTTGTGGCTCATCCTGCCTCCAGGTGATGGAAGAAAGCACCTGGGGATGGAGAGATAAAGAGACAGCAATAGGAACAAGCAAAACAAAAACAGACTCATAGATACAATGAACAGACTGGTGGTTGCCAGAGGGGAGGGTGGCTGCAGGACTGGGCGAGAAAGGTGAAGGGACTGAGACGTAGAGATTAGCAGTTACAGAACAGTCATGGGGATGTAAAGTACAGCATAGGGAACATAGTAATATTATAATAAGTATGCATGTGGTGCCACGTGGGTACTAGAAATACTGGGGGGGACACTTGGTAAAGTGTATGACTGTTTAACCACTATGCTGCACGCCTCAAACTAACAAAATAATATTAATGCCACCTGTAATTGAAAAACATTTTTAATTAAATTAAAACTTGTCAAAGAGACAGCAATAGATTAAATACATAAATAAACCCAGCTAGTGGCAGGCGTGTCCCCCTTAAATAGCCCAGGTCCACACAAAAGGCTGTGACCTTTCATTTCACAGAAGAACACCCACAAGAGTCCTTTCAGCTCTGTCAGTTCGGAAGGTGATTCAATTTGCAGAAACTCGTAGCTATCTCACATCAACATGACATTTTCTGAGGAAGGCCCGCTGATAAAGAAAGGGGTCCCAGGCCCACAACAGGACTCGAGAAGCCCTCGCATCTCCCTCTGACCCGGGGATGAGCAGGCTCTCCCAGCCCCTGCTCTGCCAGGCAGCCCTGCTCTGCAGTTCAGTTCTGGGCTCTGGAGTCAGGCTGCCTGGGCTCAGGCCCAGGCAATGCTGTTTGCAGGCCGTGTAACCTTGCTAACTGTCCCGGCTTCATTTTTCTCTTCTATAAAATGGACCTAATGATAGCTCTCCCCAGGCTGTTAGGAGCCTCGAAGGGTAATGCCCATCAAGCACTTCAGATAAACACTCAATGCGTTCTGGCTGTCAGGGTTCCTCCTCTACTCCCATTTGCCGTGGCCCGGCCACAGCTCACTTCACCCCTCGTCAGCCAGCCCTCGTGCTCCTCAGTCAGGCCTCCCGTGTGGAGGCAGGTATGATGCTGGAGGCCATGGAGGAGGGGGCCCCAGTGTTTCCTCCCAATACCCCTCAGCTCATGTCAACCCTCTTTCCATGAACTAACACCCAACAATTCCATGACGGGACAGCTTATTCCACACTCCACAGACATCAACACACCCCTGCCAACATCTGGGACAGCTCTTCTGGAGCACTGTTTGTTGAGTTTTCTATAATAGAGCAGAAGTCAGCAAACTTTTATGCAAAGGACCTGAGAATAAATATTTTAGGCTTTGCAGGCTATTCAGTCTCTGTTGCAGCTACTCACATCTGCCCTATAGCATGAAAACAGCCATACACAGTCCAGAAACGAGTGGCCATGCCGTGTCCCAGTAAAAGTTTATTTACACAAACAGGTGGCAGGCCGGATTTGGCCCATGGCCCATAGTTCACTGCATGTGATAGGTGTGTGCATGAATGTGTGCCTTGCCCATGTGTAACAAGGAAAAGGTAACCAAGGCTGCTAGCCCTAGGGGGTGGTACACACGCACACAGAGAACACACACACACACACACACACACACACACAGACCGCACAGAGCCACTTAGCTGTGCCAGCCCAATGAGTGGCATGAAGTTCACACTTGACACGACACATACTCATACATTTGTTTATTTGACAGACGACAGGACAGATGGAGGTGGAAGCATGCCGCTGCAGGGGGCAGGACAGCGATCGCCACAAATGGAAGATCATTAAAAAATCCTGCCACACCTTTGGGGTGGGGTTCTTTACTTTCATTTACACAGCTAATATTTTGGAACCTGTGATGGATCATGGAAGGATGAAGTCACTGTGGAAAAAAACAATTCTGGCAGAGCTGGGAATGGGGCCAGCCTCCCC